AAGAAAAGAAAAAAGTGCAGCATATTGATTATATATTTTTTTATATTCTGAAAACATGTCACTAATAATTGTGCCATAATGCTTACCTTTAGTGAATACCATGGGTGTTATTTCTTTCCTTCCTGGCTAGCATGCTTCTTTTAACTTCCTCACAGAAAGAAATCAAAAGTCTTTTGATACAAGGACCATCTGTCCATTTTCATGTCTTGTACCCAGCAAAATGGGCTCAGACTTGGATGGTGGCTTCATGTGTTACCCTTATACATGTTCTTAGTAAAATAATGATTCCTTTATTATGAATAAATAAAATATTGTAATGAAAATATTAGTTACTATAAATAAAGGAATTAACAATGAATTGCAAAGCAGGAGTGACACCTGTGTATCTCATGTTACACAGACTAAAGCACAGTATTATATATGTATGTGAGAAGTCTCATGTTGGGTTGATGACATTTATAGCATCTTGTTCAGATTATGAAATTGCATTGTCAGGGATCTCAAAGAATAGGAAATCATGAATTGTTCTTTCTGATATTGGAGCACTGATTTTTATTTTTTTTATGGTGGCTGAAGTAGAAATTATGTAGACTTCTATATTGTGTAGTAAGCTTTAGATTGGGTGCATTTAACCTGTCCTGTGTCTATCATTCGAAACTGCAGTAGCAGTTACGTCTCACAGTGGTGTGAAAGCCACAGCATTGGGGTGGTAGTCATTTATACTAGACAGATACAATAAATTAATTTTGATCCAGTAGAGGGAGATCACTTCTATGATTTACCCACACTTTTCGGCATATACGTACATGATTTGGGTAAGAGGATGCAGGGTTGATGTTAACTTGAAAACTGCATTTTGTTTTGTTTGGTTTTTTAGGGTTTGAAGTTACTCGAGGTGCTAAAAGTACTGAGTAACTGAGAGATAAAATAGCTGACAAAGTTAACACTGGTAAATGTGGACTGCTTTACATGGGGGAAGATGTTTCTAATTTTGCATATAGAGTAATGGGCTCTTAATTATTTGTTAGCACTGTGGAGAGAGATACTGGTATTACAGAATGTAAATGTTTGAAAATGTTAGCCCAGTGTGTAGTAACCATCAAGAAACAGGGAAAAACTTAGGAATTACTCCTTTCGGAGAGAAAAATAAATCATTCTTTGTCATTCTGAAAGTCCCTGTTGTGTTTCCCTGGGCTGCAATATTGCCTGTAATTCTGGAATTCCCAGCCTGGAAGGATTCCGTGGGTTAGAGGAAGGAGTGATGAGAGCAACCAGCAGTGCCAAGTAGCTTGCTTGGCACCAGTAGGAAACTAGAGCAGACCTTTGAAGCCAGGAAAGGTTTTAGTAGGGTGTCAAGCAGAGAAGGGCTTGTTTGAGAGATTTTGTAGAATCACAGGCTCTCTAGATAAGATGAATGGAGGGCATCAGATGATATTCATAATGTGCAGATTAAAGTAGAACAGAGGTGAGTTTTCTCATAATATGTATTTAAACCATGGAACTTGGTGAATGTTGTGAATGCTGAAGGGTGGTGGCTTGGCTTTAGAAAAGAAACAAAATCTGACATGCCTCCTACCCCCCTCAAGCGTGAGGAAGAAAACCCCATCCTAGTCACCACTTACTTAAGAAATGTTTGATCTCTTGGTTACTGAAAACAGAGAGTTTCAGTTACTCCAGAGAAAGTATCATGTCATCACTCAGTTTTCTGTTGTTTATATATTCTCTTGCTTAGTGTCAGAAATTAGGTAGTCGGGGAGATGGATTTTTTGGCTGGTATGTAGATTCTGGTCAAGGAAGACAACAACACTGAACACTGCAAAGTATGTACTATACATTGCATTGCAAATAGCAGAACTATGTTAAACAGCTCAAGTTTATGTCCATGTTATACACATATAAATACTGGTATATAATTTGATTAGGGTTAAGAGAAGACTAATATTCACTCATGGTGATTTTAGGGAGCTCTTTCATTGGAAAATGGGTTTTGAATCTCTTTTCTATAAAATATTTTTTCTAGCTTTATTGTTTAAAAGCTCTTAGATGGCAAGCATCTTAGGTGGCATGATGACTTTGATGGTGATAACACTGAATTACTTGTAAATGTGCCCTTCTCAAGGGGCACCTGTAGATCCCTCCTTCACCTGGGGCTGAGAAAATACAGCATTAAGCAGCCTAGGTGATACCATGCTTATGTCTGATACACATATCTGAAAATCTATTCAATAGAGATTCATGGCCAGGCTGGACAGAGCCTTGGGTGACATAGTTTAGTGTGTGGTGTCCCTGCTCATGGCAGGGGGGTTGGAACTGGATGATCTTAAGGTCCCTTCCAACCCTAACTATTCTATGTATCAAAATATGTGTAAATTAAGGGCCACAAACAGAAACATATGATCTTTCTCTGTGAGATTAAATCTATTTGGTGACTTAGAATTAATTTCCAAAGCATAGTAATTTGATTCCTAGTATCAAATAAAAGGTTACAAATACTTCCTTTCATGTTCTAGAAGCAACTAACCGTTTTAGAAACAGCTAACCATCTGGACGTTTCTAAGGATGTGTTCAAGCTGCTTTTGGTGTTGTTGAACTGGAAGTTGGAAACTCTTCCTGTGACAGATGCGTTCTTGCAATGTAACTGCTTTATCTTCATTTTCAGAAGTACTAGTTAATGTTTAACTGGTCCTCTGGTATTGTATCTGTGTTTGTTTTACATATTTAAATTACAAAAAAATGCATGAGATCTGCTTGCATTTGAAAGGACAAAACATTCTAGAGTATGTGTGTATATACAAAAATATAAACACTTGTAAACAATGTGTTTTTAATGTGCTATGCCAGATTACCTCAGTGATACTCTTCTATTCTTGTGGTCACATCCAAAGAAGTCAACAGGAATAGCACCTTTATCTTCAGAACAGAAAGTTGAAGTATGCTCCCTAAACTTGCTTGTGTATGTAGGATGTCAGTGGCGTATGTTGGATAGCAAAGGGCCTTTACTTCTCAGACTGTGCAACACTAACAATTGCCTTACTGGAGTATAAAATTAGTAGAATGATATAGGACTTACTGGTTTATCTTATCTGTGAATTGACTTACGAAGTGTAGTTGAATTCTTACTAAGTCAGGACAGAATTCCTGAATACTTTATTGTAATTTTAATTGACTTTTAGATTTAGAAGTTTAAAAGACTGTAAGTGCACACAAGTCTTAGGATATTTCAGTTACTTTATTGAACCATGGTATAAATGTTTTGTACAAAGGTGCAAAAGTTGTCTGAAGTTTGATATCTTGTTCTTCATTAAGCCTTGAAACTTCCCTGTGTGCCTAATTGTTTGTTTTATTTCCTTTTAGATGAAACGACTCCTAAAGAAGTCAGCAGGGTAAGTGCTACTCTCCTCTCTAAAAAGAGATGTAGTCTCAAGAGGCCCACTGTTCACTTGAGATAATTTTTGTGCAGTGTCTGATCAAGATTTGACTATATTCCCTTGACATAGTGGATCTCCATAGGAAAAATTAAAAAAAGGATGTACTGACTGACCAAGGAACAGTTAACAAGGAAAATAAATATTAAGAACACTTGATTGGCTGTGAATAAATTAAAGAGTATTTTACATTAGCAAATTTAGAGTTCTCACAGTGCTATTTTCATGATCCAGTTTTAAAAAGGTATTTAATGGAAACTAGGAAAATCACAGGACTTTGATCATAACAGCGTAACTGTTTAATCAGTGTTACTGCCTTGAGAGATGGCAAGCATAGGAGGAAACAAAGGAAGGAATATGCACTATCTAATAACTGCCTTTGACGTGTGCTGTGGTATTCTTTAATTTGAAATATTGTGCAGTACTATATGAAATATAATCTAAAATGTTCAAAAACATATTCAGTAATAAATTCCCAACACTAGCCTTACATCTGGTTGACCCTGTGCCTGCAGAATATTGGTCTGTGGTGGAGGACTAGTTAGGAGGATCTGTTGGAAACCAGTGCCTTTGCTGGGAATAACAAAAAATCAGCACAGGACAATCTGTTGCCCTGAGATGCATCCAGTCAGCCTGAAGCATCTAAATGTTATTTCGTATGAGGAAGCCATTTACAGCTTTCTGAGGTGGAATCATGGTCCTATTTTGCTCCTCTTCTTGAATGTCTTGCATAAGCTGTTTCTTATTCCCAGGAGAAACACAATACTGTCAGACACATATTGAAAATAAGGCTTATTGAAAGACTGCAAAATCTGGCTGGGTGGTCTTGCTCCCAATAGAAGTTCTTTGGAAAATACCAGCATGTGGAAGGAGTGGAAACAGGTTGGCAGTGGAAACCTCAGTTTGGTAACCCTGAAAGCAGAGGGCTGGCATAAGGGGGAATGCAGTTCTCCTCTTACACCACTATCAAAAAGAAGTTAAATTTTGTCTAAAATTAGTTTATTCAAGCAGGGTTTGTCCATACATGTGATGTGCTGTAGATGTATAAGGGTGTTGATAATTTAGGTCAAAATAGTATGTTTTAGTAATCCATTAATTTATAACACTTTTTTTGGTCATCCGTTGGTATTCGACAGTTAATGGCATTTGAGTAAATACCTATAGTTGTAAGTGTAACTGAAGTTTATTGTTATCAGTGTGTCTGCATCTATATTGCCCTGCCAGGTTGGACGGAGTCTTAGGTGACATGGTTTAGTGTGTGGTGTCACTGCCCATGGCAGGGGGGTTGGAACTGGATGATCTTAAGGTCCTTTCCAACCCAAATCATTCTATGATTTCAAAATAATTAAAGATCTATCTAAAAATCTTAGAAGCTGTAATTATTTCTGTGGAAGAACATTCTGTTTATTTGTCATTAATTTGGTGAATAGATGCACATTTTATCTAAAATTCTGTAAAATGGAGTTACAAAACATATCCAGGTTACCACATTTGAGCTATTTAAGGCAAAACCCCCCACCCTGAGTCTGCCCTGCCAGTCATCATCCCCTCTGCCTCTCAGGCACACTGGTCCCAGACGTCTTTACAGTGAGGGTGGTGAGGCACTGGAATAGGTTGCCCAAGGAAGTTGTGAATGCTCCATCCCTGGTGGTATTCAAGGCCAGGTTGGACAGAGCCTTGGGTGACATAGTTTAGTGTGAGGTGTCCCTGCTCATGGCAGGGGGGTTGGAACTAGATGATCTTAAGGTCCTTTCCAACCCAAACCATTCTGTGATTCTATGATCTCAGCCGGTCAAAGTCGTGTATATTGACTTAGAGTTTTTGTGAAAATGAATGGGTGTCACTTGAAGTCTTGGAGTCAGAGAGGTGCAGATAATACTTCAGATGTTCTCAACTAAATGTTTTCTCCATTGTTTTTTGGGGGGTTTTATGCTATCAGTCATTGTGCATTTGGCGTGTACACTGTGTTACTCTGCTTTTTAAAGAAAAATACCTGTGGGCACTTAGCAATGCACCACATTATAAATGAACGTGTTTGTAATAGTATTTTTGAATAATGCCATATATTACGACGTAGACCCTTGTAACACATAATCTTCTTCAGTAGCAGCTCAAACAGATGCCAGTTTAATTAAAATCTGAACGTAAATTTGAATTTAAATTGGGAAAGTTCTGTATGTGAGTAATGTTTTTCAGACAAAAAGACATGTTCATGCTGACTGAAGAATTACAAGTTTTAAGGTCATTAAGTTACAATTTTAATTCCTGAAAATTTCTGCAAGAAGGAGTTTATATCATAGGGAAGCAAAAATAAAGGTTACTGAAAGTAAAATTATTGCAGAATTAAATCACCAACTGCTTTAAAATATTAGCTATAAATCAAGGTAAAAGTACGTTGAAAAAATGTGGTTTTCATTGCTGGATTAATGTGGGGTTTTTTTCCATCTTTCAATGTTGGGCAGAGTGACAACATGAGAACATTCATAGTCATTGGTTGGTTCAATAGTCTTCCTTTCTGTTGTGCTTACACAGAACAACAGAATTAAATTGGGGGAGGATATTGTATATTAAATTTCTTGAACCCCTTTCTCGCCCCAGAAAGCCTGTCCTTTTTTTCTTTATAAACATGCATGTTAGAGCTATTGGGCTCTAAATACTGAACTTGGAAGGAAATGTCGGTGTTTTTCAAGGGTGTATACTGCAGTATCACACTTTGAAAATTGAAGAAGTTCTGAAAACTGCAGTTGTATACAAACTGCATTTTTAATCTTCTGCCATTTTTAGCAGCTGAGTAGAAAAATGAAAATCAAGTAGCAATCTTGGCTATCAGCGTTATGTTGCATGTTTTTGAAACAAGGAGGAAGCAGGAAAAACCTTCCACCTACATTAAATTTTGAGATTTGTAGAACAGAAAAGAAGCTTTTCAAAATTTATTGTTTTTAAATCTGGCCTACTAATGGCAATTTCATCAGTATTTTGGTGTTCAGAAGTTACATATAAATTTATCCTAGATTGGCCTGACATAATAATTTGATGCAGGGTGGAGGAAGATTTCGCTGTTCCTGTAGGCTGCTTCTGGCATAAGAGCAACTGGTTACAAAACATCTCATGAGCATCTGTGACCAAACAGTGAACCTGTGAACTTTTTCCTGCATGCTAGATTCCAGTGTTTATGAAATATATGTAACTGCGGACAAAATCGCCACATGATATAGTATTGGGAGCATCCTTGGAAATGCTGAGTTTCTTCTGCTTACTTACTGTGCAGATGTGTGTTGGCTGATCCCATCCATCATAGCTCCAGAAAGGGCTTTCTGGGCAAAGGGATTTCAGAAAGAAAACCAACTCTTGAACTATTTTGATGAAGCAAACTTAAGCTGGATTTTATACTTTGTTTTTGCTGGTTTATCCACAAAGGAAATGAAAATCGAGGAGCATGAGTTTGAATACTAAGTGCGTATGTATTCATGTACATCTAGACTAACACTGTATTTCTTTGACAGTATTAGTGAAAACAGTGTGCATCAGAGACATGTTATTCTTTTCAGTTGGCAAAAATAACCCCATTCCTACGTGAACTATAGCCAGGGTTTTGTTCTACGTGCTGCTAAGTTTCCCATGATCACTATGTGCTCTTTTGTACCTCAGATTCTGAAGTTTAAACAAAAATACTTCATGTTCCCGATATGATCACATCAAAATTAGCTGTTGTTCGTTTTGCTTAATGACTTTTCATTCCATGTTTACTTGAACAATACTTCCAGTGAAGCTGCTTTTTGGCAAGTACCTTTGCTTTGTAAACTCCAGTGATGCCAACAGCAAATCACTTTGCAGAAGTTTACCATATAAACATCAGAAAATTATTACCTAGCAATTGACTAGCTCATTTATAGTACCTTCTTCTTGGAAACAGGAATAATACTTTAATCCTCTTCTTTCCCCTTTTTGGACTTGGAGCTTTTGGCAGCTGCCTTGGCACCAGCTAGCACCCAGCACAGTATGTCACTGACAGTTACAAAATTAGCAAGTGTGTTTTCAGTAAACAGTTGCAGTAATTGCATGTATCTTTACCGTGCAACTGATAATAGAAGTTTTTGCTTTTTATGGCACATTGGCAAAGCAAGCTTATTCTTTGTAGTATTTCCTTATTAAAGATGTGATTTGAATGTTTTCACACAGTCTCAGAACTGAAAACTGCAGCGAATTAATCAAGAAGTTAGGGGAACTAGAGCAAACACATATTTAGCCTTTAGGAGTGATGCAAATGGCATTGCACCCATTGTCATGAGAAGATGCTTGTATAAGCTGATGTCTTTATAAAGAAAATCTTGTGGATACTGTGGCAGTGATAAGCAACAGTGGTAGGAAAATTAGAAGTTTATTTTTAATTTTGTACATGATGTCTTTAGAGTGCTTGCAAGTCAAGTATTAGGAGGGAATGTGATTTTATAAAAAGCTTTTTAAAAAGAGGAGCAGTATTCAGCCTTGTCAAGTTAAAATGAAGCTCATTATGCTGTTTTATTATATAATCTAGAGAGATGATATAATTGAGATATTAATGCAGTTTTATGAGCCTTACAGTTAATAACAGCTTATATAGTTACTTCTTTGCAATCATAATGTTCTTTTCTCATAAGACAAGTCTTTATTTTTTTTATGTATTTTTCCTATTACTAATGAAGCAATTTGTTTCAGTGTTGCCATTTGATAATAGGGAAGAAGCTGATGGAACAATTAGAACTGGATGCCAGTGAATTGGGGCTATTTAGCAAGACGCTTCTCCTAGGGAAGATGTTCACCATCTTTTCAAGGCTGGGAGATCAGCTATGTAAACGGGCTGGGAAACATGTACCTTCAAAATTAGTGAATCCTTTCTCTGCATAGTGAGCCGGTTTGCATCTTTTGACATAGTAGGGCTCATCCTGCCAAATGTCATCTCATATTTTTCCTTCTTTGCTTTTCTCATGTACAGTGTTTGATGTACAAACAAACAATTCACCTGTGTACAGTGTCTCAATGCTAAAGTTTATGTACTGAGCAAGTTCTAACCCATGTCCTCTACAGTCAAAACAAGAAGAGAATAGGCGTCAGACGAATGCGTGTAGAAGCAGTTTTCTCTGAGGCTATGTAAAAGTATTAAAATTAGTCACCTCAGTTAAGTCTGCTCTTTATAGCTTCTCTTCTTGCTTTTCAGTGTCCAAGTTTAAACAAAACTGGTTACTCCAGCCAATCCTGGTTACCCCTTCTGGGGTTTTTTTTAGAGCAGAGAGATTTTTCTGAGCTTCCTCTCCAAGCTCTCTGCACCTCTGAAGGTCAGCTCTGCACTGTAAGCTTGCTTACAACATTCTGTCCACTGTTAATTTTCAGTCTGGGGATTTGACATCCTTTGGCTCAGCATGTCCACCTTGAAGCAAAGTAGCAGTATTGCTTCCTTCTGTAGGTTTTCTTTGTGGTGTGGTTTTTGTTATTGGTGGTTTTGTTTGTGTTTGTTTTGGTGGTGTTTTTATTGTTTGATTGATTGTTCGTTTGTTTTACTTTTGTAATGGATGAAGTCCAGATCCATACTTCTGTTGTTTCACATGTGCAGTTTAGATGTGTTTTCACTGTTAGTAGGACACAATTATCCCTTAGTTATCTGTGCCCCAAAATTAGAAGCACCAGATTCTATTCCAGATGTGAACTAGCCATCAGTGCAGCTGTGTGTCTTTTTCTCAATTTTCTTAATGGTTTAATTAGATAATTATTTATTTATTTTTCTGCAAGCATTTCTTTCTTTATACCCATTGGTGGATGAAAATGCCTGGTGCATGCTAGAAGAATTGGTCCCTGCTTTCCCAAAAGCCTGCTTTCAACGCATATTGGTGTGATAGGTCAGCACCTTCTCCTGTTTCCTGGGCAAAATACCTGTGCTGTGCTTCCCCATTGAGCCTGTAACAAAACAGAACTTTACAGCCACCTCCCACAAGCAGTACCGCTCTGGCCCTCATAGCCCTGTGGTCAGCTACAGGCCTCCTCCATCAGCTGACAAAAAGCTCTGTGTTGTGGTTCTCTCTCACATCATCTGAAACCAGCCTAAGATATCTATATTACAGGTGGAAAATAAGCAACATCAAAAGGAATCTCTCTGGATGTGGCCACTTCCACCCATGTTTTGTGGCTTTCACAGTTTGGTTGTTTTGGTTTTGTTTGGGGTTGGGTTTTTTTTGTTTGGTTGTTTAGGTTTTTTGTCTGTCTGTTTTTTTCCTAGCATCATGCAATGAAATTCTGCATCCCCGAAGTACATTTGGCCATCTCTCTCCACATTACATGGAATTTGGGCTGTCCATTTATTCACATTCCTTTTTGTGATAATGTCATACACTATGTGGTCTGTAAAAGGACATGTTTCTGTTGCAGAACCAGGCAGTTGTTGCTGTGGAGAAAGAGCTCTGTGGTAGGGAGTATTACATGGGAACTTGCTCTTCTCATTGCTATTCAGAAGACATTTGAAGAAGTTACAGAGAAAACAGATCAACTTCTGGATTATGTTGGCATTTATTGACCCTGTGCTGTATTAATGAAGGCTTTTTGTGACAGTAGAAGGGCTTTTTCTTTTCTGCAGCGGCACAAAATGCCCTTGGCATAGCTACCCTATAAGCATGAAAGCATGAAAATTAAACTTCATTTCAGTTTGTCAGATATAAAATTTACTTTAGTCCTTGAACTTTCTTTTTTTTTGTGTGTGTGTGTCTTAATTGTCCAGGATGAATGCTTAAAATTCATCTCACTCTATGATATTTTGTTGTCTCCTTTCATGGAATAAAATGTTTATGATTCTCAGCCTCTTTGTTTAGATCTAAGTCACAGCACTGTTTGTAAATCACCTGTCATGGGCTGCTGTCTTCTGTTGTACCATAGTATTCTAAAGACAGAAAGCAGAATCATTTTTAGATAAGTCCTGCAAAAATGTCCTTCTTTCGTATTTATAAATTTGAATATGACTACTTATTACAGGATTTTCCTTAATGGTTATTCTTTTTCACAGCATTATAATAATATGCAGCTACTAGAAATATGCCAGTATGATAGTGGCATGATAGTGCTAAACCAGTTTTTAGTCTACTTGAATTATTTTAATGTAATGTCACTGAAATTCAGAATTTTACAGTAAATATGAAGAAATACTTGTAGACACTGAATCTTAAATAGAAGGAAATCAACAATAGGAAGAACTAAGTAAAAGGAATTGAGTATTAATGATGTTTACATTGCAAACTACACTGCCGTAATGAATTAAGAAGCAGTACTTTCACTATATCTGATGACAAACAAGTAGTCTTTTTCCGCCAAGTATGTTGAATTTTTTTGAGGAATTCTTTTCCTAAAGTAAGTTTTACACCAGATATGCACAGGTCTGTGTTAGCAACAGCACTGGATCCAATGATTGTCAGTAGTAGAAATCTGTCGTATTTCAAGTGCATGTATTATGCAACTACCATTTTTTTAGTACCAGGGATGCATGCAATGATTTGCCCTGCTTACAAAAAGTTTGCAAGCATATGTTGCAGAGGTGAGGATAAAGGGCACATAGCTTATTATGTAATTACTATGCACATGGAACTGCTGCTTGATTATGGGAAAGTTGTTATTCTGCAATGGCTGTTATGCCAGTGGGCTCATTTTGATGATGCTTTCTCTTAATGTATTAGCTTTAACCTTTGAAGATCAGATTTAATCCTGATTGCGCATCACAGGCGAAGACATATATATGCATTTCCAGGTTCTGAGAAGGCATTTTTCCATGTGATAAAGGCTCAGTGCACGTGTGCTTGATTAGCTATTGTTACTTTACGATATGTGACTACACATACTTTTGCATATACAGGTTGGCGTGTATGAATAATATAGACTCTCATTCATTTTCCTGTTATATGGCTACTTACAGCTGTATCATAAGTCTAAAAATTGTACTTTAATGAAACTATGCTATTGTTTTCTCCCTTCAAAGAATCGTACAGTAGTAAATGTGGGGCACAACTGTGGGGATGGTCAATGGAAGCTTGCCAGGGGCCATACGGTGCTAATCATGATAAAGGCATATTGTATTGTACACTCAAGACTTAGAGCAGGTTATGCATGTATGCTCTGTGACTTTGTATCACTGTCAAAATTTATAACCATCACATCAATTCATAGAATTATTAAATGTTGTTTGTTATACACTGAGAAGTTTTGGACACCCTAGGTCTTAAATGTTCTAATATGTCCATCTGCATCAATAGATTAATACCACACGATGTATTAAGAAGGGGTTACAGCAAAGATTGCCATTTTAAAATCAAGATCAAGATGTCCTTAATTTGAAGGAATCAGGAATGGATATTATCAGCAAGCACTTGGGTTTTTTGTTTGTAGCATTTGTTGGGTTCTTGGGGTTTTTTTGAGATGAAGCCAAATGTATCCTAAACATATATGGCTGTATGCTCTGTATTCATGACATAGTGTGTTGTGCATAGAAATGCATTAAAGTAATAGTAGGAATAAGGTTATATTATGGAATAGATCATAAGTTACATGTGAAATCCATCAGTAAGTGTGATGTGTACAGATTTACCCAAAGTTACAAAGATCTAGAGAGCTACAGGGAAGAGTTACATACATGCACATGAGCATAGGAGTAGTGGGTAGACTGTGGTACTCTGAACATTCATGGCATTTTCCATAGTGCTGTTTACGTTAGTGTAGTCTGTATTGCATTTGGCCCTAAAGTATGAGTGAGCAGAAGAATAAGTCTTAGTCTTTCAAGCCACGTTAATTCGTCTAAATATCATCAGCTTCATTTTTAATTTAATCAACATAATTTACTGCATCACTGAGTTCAGTAAGTAATTGACCATATTACTTTCTTCAGTTACCACATTACCAGTTTTGGGCAGGGTAATGAATCTTTATTTACTGCCAAGTATTGCTTTCTGTGAAATTCTTGTTTGTCATCCTGTAATGCTACACATGCACATTTACTGCCAGTTTCATCAGCCCTTCAGGATTTGGGAACTGGATAACCAAATGCAGCTGGGCCCCTGAAGGGAGGCTGCATCTCCTTTCCTATGGTATTTTAGCCATGTCAGGCTGTTTCATCATACCAGCAACCAGCACCTCATTGCTCCCATCTAAATATCCTAAATGATTCATAATCTCTTTCTGGCTTTGTCTGCCATTTCAGTTGAAACAGATGCCTCTAAAGCCACAGTGACTAGTGTGATATTTGACTCCTGGTTTCTGTCCTTCAGCTTGGTGATAGTAACTGCTGAGCAACTTGAGCTACCACCTCAAAGCTGTGGGGCTTGGCACAGTTCTGTCACTAGGTTAATGAATTTGAGGTGGAAGATGCTGGCAAAGTCAGCTAGTTGCCACCTTTTATAGTGGAGTAGGAGCTTAAAAGGAAGGAGTTGAAGGTTACTCACCTCATAATTGACGCATCCCTCAGTCTCTTTGTGAGACACTGTCATGTGATCTTGACCAAGTTTAGGCGATTACTGATTGCTCAGTGGTGTACACTATGAACAAATGTCTAATGGAGTACGGAGTGGAGTGCCATGCCTCTTGCTTGGCAGCAACCCAGTTCTTAAGGCAGGTGGATTAGGACAGACACAATTGGCTTGGTGCTGAAGTACCTCCCTATTACTTTTAATGCAGTTTTTTGTTTAAAACCTCCAAAATACATCTGAATTGTTCTAAAATGTTGTTCTTATCTTTGCTTCCGTAGTACCAGGATACGAATATGCAAGGTGTAGTGTACGAATTGAACAGCTACATAGAACAGCGCCTGGATACAGGAGGGGATAATCAACTACTTCTGTATGAACTGAGCAGCATCATAAAAATAGGTAAGAAGGAGAATCAGATGTCCTTGAGCTGTTACTTAGCATCAGTGTGGAGCATATTTCTTACGTGTTTTAGTTAACAAAGACAGGTATTGAGGGATAATGGTGTTTTCTTTGGATGTTGTCTCAGTATGAGCTTACTTTGCCTTTTGTCCCTCAATGAATCCCTGACTGCACCTCAGTAAATTTCATCTTTGGATAAAGTTGTGTATCAAATTGCAAAATTAAAGCCTCCTGTTAAATGGACCAGAGTAGACTGTTCCGGTTATGGTGGTGTTGCAATGTCAATATTGAAAGTAAAAAAAAAATCTGTTGATAATATCACTGCATACTTGAACCCCATTTGAAACACACCTGAGATGTTAATAAAAGAGAACACATCTTTTATGTGATCTGTAATTACATTCAGCTGTTAACCATAGTTTTTTCTATCTGATGTAAATACCTTTCGTGGTAAGAAAATGCTACACATGTTCAAAAGTTAGGAAATAAAACAAAAAAAATTCTCAGTAACAATATAAGTGTAATTCAGTTTCTTTTTAGCCAGAGTGGATGTACTCAGATTTCAGTAGGAATTAGCAGTAGCTTTGGTCAGTATAGCTTTCAGTCAACTCTTTAGAAAGGTTTTACTGACCCTACTACTTCATCATCTTGTAACAATGAATTCTGGTTTATATACATGATGTTTTAAAAGGTCCACTTATATTTACTGATTTTTCTGAAGTAGTTACTTGGATACTGATGTCTAGCAGACAGCAAATCAGACTGGATTTTGTTAATACACAGCAAGCAAGAAGCTATAGGAGACAGTCTGCTATTTTCTACAATTTTTTTTTTTTTCTTTTGTAAAGCAGATGACTTTGGATTTTTTTATACTATTTCCTTTACAGTACTTATTTGTCTGGTAGCTCAATATGCTTATGTACTGCAGCTGAAGGATTTAAAATCTGAATGCAAATTACCATGTCCTGAACTCTCATTGCTGTTACACAAGTGACTATAAGCAAGTAACTACACAGTGGGATTTTTTCCTTTTGTCGAAGAAATGCAGAAAGCCAATTGATTTAATTACACACAAGTCTAATCACTCCCCTGAAATGTACTAAATGGATTCTTGTGTTCATTCATAAAAAATGAATATCAGATATGTGCATTTACTGGTTAGAATGTTTATTAACTGTTGGAAAGACAGACTTACACTCAGAGTGTCAAAGTCTATTGTGTAAAGCCAGATAAAAGACATTGATTCCCCTATCCTCTTCTGATTTTGAGAGTTTTCATTTTAGCAGTAAATTATGATGATTGGTTGACTTCAAACTTTTGAGATGTTAAGGAACTTGACTTTACCCTGTTTCATACAACAGTCTGAATCTGGCAGAAATAGGACAAGTATGAACTTTCTAGTGTGTGTCAGTGTTTTTAATATGGGGCAGGTACAGAAAATAGAAACTGTTTTGAAACACATTTTTATGGCAATATTTGCAACATTTTATTTTCCCATCATTTTCTATCTTAAGGCAAAGACAAATAAAACTTACCATCTTTGAATGGTATTTATTTTACTCATGGAAATTATAATGTTATCTGGCTGATTATATTGTAAATACACGTTCTTATGTTACTTCTATACTGTCATATGAATTAATTCAAATTTACAGACATTAGGCCTTGGAATAAAAATAAGATCTATAAAGACATTTCTAATTATCTTTTAGAATGTAGTAAATAACAATGGGGAAAATTATCTCATACCTGGGGAGTTTCAAGGGACACAGCAATAGACCTTCACCTTTAGAACTGTAGATGTTTGTCCTAAATGGAACTGAATCTGTGGTTTCACCTCAGAGATCTTGTATAAGTTCGATTTCCCCCTGTGAGTACAGTTATTTCTTTTATTATTGCTTTGGCAGCTACGAAAGCTGATGGATTTGCACTGTATTTCCTGGGAGAATGCAATAATGTAAGTACACTGGATTAAGATGCTGGTTTTCAGTACAGTTACAAGTGCATTTTCAAATTTGACAATGACACTTTGATTTCATTTTGCACGCCATTTAGCAGGAAATACTACCTGAGTGCTGAATAACAGCTTTATGTTATCTTTGTTTCTGTAAAGTAGAAGTTTATTGAACATAGTGGTAATGAAAAAATGTTTCCTGTATTTAGATCCTTGACCTTTTAATTTTTTTGTAATGATTTAGCAGTCATGTTGTTGTTACTCTGGCTGTTGCAACTTAACTTGTGATTTAGCCCCATTATTAGTTGTCTTTAACAAACAGAAAACTTTGATTTAGTCTCTGCATAGCCTATTCATCTAGTTAACTCTGAGGGTTTGGTTTTTGTTTTGTTGGGGTTTGGGCTTGTTTGTTGTTTTTTTGGGGGGGCGGGGGTTGGGGTTTTTTTTAATGTTATGTTTTCTGTTAACTGTCAGCTGCAACTTGATAGTGAGAAAATGTAAATATTAGATGTAGATATTAGTTAGCATAAAATAAATTGTACTTTTAAATTTTACGTATGAAATCAGTTTCTGGTGCAGTAATTTGAGTAACAGGGAATCCAATATTTACTGTTTTGTTACTTGGCATTTAGAACACATTTCATATTTTTTGTATCCAGAGTGATTTGTACAGTTACCATGATACAAGACTTTGTAGTTAGTTTGAATGGCTATCAAGAAGAAAAAGTAGTTTATACTTACCAGTTCTGTTCATATAATATTCACACTTTGTCAGAAATCTTATATTTTTCATTGGTTCAAGAAATGAACTAAACTCTTCTTACTAAAAAATGACTAGAAAGGAAAATATTTTTCTCATTGTTTTTGTTCCCTTACTTTACAGAGCCAGCTTTAATAGTTTATTTTTCTGTAGTCCATTAGCCATTTCCTTTGCTCTTAGTGACATAATTGAATTCAGAAAAAGGGAAAGAATGACATTTTTGAAATAGTGGAAATGGGATTGAAGATGTACGAACCTGCAGGTGACTTGAACCTTGTCTGAGAATATTTTTTACTTATTCAAAAACATAGTGCCTTATCTGCAGGATGTACAAGGCTGCCCATACAGAGGTTTCCTAAAAGAAGTGGAAGTTGGTTTTGTATTTTTTTCATTTAATGATTATTTCATCTAATAAAGTCCTGTAAATGAGTTCTGTAAGTATGTAAATACCATACTTTTTTTTAATAACCCTTTTACTGAGGGGTATAACTTAAGTAACATGTTCACCCGTTGTGAATACAATCTTCTCATTAGTAGGTGACAGTGTCCACTGTCATGGGTGGGGGTGATACAGACCGTCACTAGAGCTTCTTTCTGCTGCCAGAGGCAGTGCTTGCTGGAAGTGCAGCCATCCCTTTATGTTCATCTCTAAATGCTTTTGTAAAAGATGATAGTAAAATTAGCTTTACAGCTTGAGACCTAGAGGGTTCTTACTGTGGTGAGTTTTTTCCTGTTAGATTAGTGTGGCATAATAGGGATTTCTTCTCAGTCTTCTGATGCTTTGAGGGCCTGGGCACTTTATGACCTTCTGCATTTTTATTTTTTTAATTTTTTTTTAATAGCCTATTAGGCAGTTTGAATCTATTTCCTTCCCAGTATAACTTTCCTGAATAAAGTTCCAACCACTAAAAACACACATTGACTTTATTAACCACTGCTATGTAGCTGCGTCTCCCAAAATGGAATGTTCTTCATGTAGTTATTATAGGGACTGATCCCAAGTCCTTTGAAGTTAGTGTGAGATTTTCCATTCACATTAGTGGGCTTTGGGCCAGACCCATGTTTGTAGTCTTGTAACTAAATGGTAGTGCATCAGCCTACTTCTTTTAAGAAATTGCCATTGAAAATTAATTTGGATATCTTTGTCTTTTGAATATTTAACTTAAAGGATGTGTCCAAGTGAGATTAATCACTGTCCAATGAATATGGTCAATGTATTTTTATTAAGTATATTTTTTTTAAATGGGAGCAAAAAGATACTGCATAGCATAAATCGCAGAAAGGAGCTAATGCTTTAAGCTGAAGTTTCAAAAATTATAAAAATCCCTCTCATTAGTCTGGACAAAATAGTTGCTGAACACCTATGGCCACATTTTGAAGAAAGGCTTCTATTTATTGGTGGCTTAATTTTTGATGTTTGGTTTTGTGACTTAAGTTTTGCCAATTCAGCAAAACTAATTTCCCCCATGCCCAATCTTAGCATTTGGCTTTTTGTTTGCTGGCTTAAGAAATATGCATCAATCTGCTGGTATTTATGAAGTCAGCAGCCTCAGGTTTCAGAACTAGACCTGATGTGACAGTTATTTCCACCATGCTTTCAAAGAAATAATTGTTGCCTGAGTACAGGTTTTCTAGAGTGTCTGTGTATGTCTTTTTGAGAATTAGATACTGGAAGGGAATTCTGTAAGAATGGAGGAATCCTGTTAATAAGTAGATACTTTCTCTCAAATGTTTTTCTGATGCTTAGTGATGTGTGTTCTGATTATATTCTGTAAGGGAACTTAAGATCAAAACTGAAACAAAAACATTAATTCTGCTTTATTTCAGTTCCTGCTTTAAATTTGTGTAGGTATAGTTGTGCTTGTTTAAAGAAATCAAATTTGAGAGTCTTAATGCGTGTTAATCTCGGCTAAGGAACATTTTTGCAATATGAAATTTCTGTAACTGCCTTTCACCTAGATTAAATAGTGAGTTTCTAGATAGGATAGAAGATAACTTCCTTTTGCAGAAATTCTAGATATTTCCAAAATGAAAACTAGCAAATGATTATTACATTCTGTGTGCTACTATTCTTAATATTGACATAATTGCTATATCATTGCAATTTTGTTTTCCAGGGGTTACTAAGAATTAATTGTAAATTTTTCTTTGGTGCAATTTGTAGTATGGACAGCACTTCCCTTACTGAAAACTGGAAGTTTGTTTAATGAGAAGAAAAGCTCTAGATTAGCTGGTCCTTTCTTTTTGTAAAATGTAGATGAATCACTGGCCTTTAGAGGAGGACCTTTTTTTAGAAAAAAAACTCATTTGGAGTGTTTCTTAAAATACTTGTCCATACTTTTTTTTTTTTAATAGACTTTTTTTCTTTATCTCTGTTGAAGTATACAAAACTGTATCTTGACTTGTGTTAGAGTTGGATAACAGCATAAGGACAAGGTAATTTCTAGCTGACAGGTCAGGTTGAATGGTGACACTGGTTGATGAGGATCTTCACTTGAGTCAATTTGCTTAAAATGGAAGATACCACACCAATTGCAGGTTACACTGTGTTTCTTTATGCAAGTATTACTCAGAATTGGTGCCAGAATGAGTGTGGCAAGTTCAGTTATTTTAGCTGCTTTCTGTTGTTGAAATTCTTGGGAGTGCTAGCACTTGTTGTACTCCTTGCTAACTACGTTCTGCTTTTCAAATGATTGCCTACAAGCAGGTAAGTACCACTTGCATGCACAACTCCTTCCTTCCCCACAGGTTGCTCTGCATATCAGAATCTGCTTTTGTGTATGCTGTACACATGGTGGAATGCATTGCAAAGTATTCAGGTACTAGAAACAATACAGTTTCTGGGCAGACCGATGCCCATACTGCCTCTGCTTCTTGAACTGTCTCTCCATCTAATAAATCATCTGTGTCCATGGAATAGTGCAGTCATGCAAATAAAATTATTTACTTTTAAGGTATATTACAGCTATTTTGCAAATACTATATACTGGAGACTGGAAACACTTCCAAAACAAACAGGAATGTTTTGCAGCTCTCCAGCAAAGGACTTTATTTCAGTTTTCTGTATTATTCCTTATGGGGATGAATATAGTTCATAATTCTCATGTTATGACTTTAATTGAATATAAACTTCAAACATGAGTTAAAGGATTTGCTGAAATCCTGGTAGTGGATGGAATGTGTGTGTAAATCAATTGCCTAAGTACCATGCTAGCTGGGCGTGGGTTTAACCCATAAGCTGATGTCTTTACAAGACAGTATTTCTAAAACACTTCTCACAGCTACAGTTTCTAATGTATTATTATATTATCTGATTCTTCAGATGCTTCATGTTTAAAGTCCTTATTTGTGTAATTCACCTCATGATTACATTGTGATTCCTATGTAAAGATGCATGACTTCCAATTTAATAGGCATACACTTAAAAAGTAGCTGTTCTGAGGTCTTGTGTTACTTACTTCCTGAAGCTGCAAATCGTGTTGACAAAGAGATCATCCTTCCTTCAGATAGAAGTTTCAGATAACTTTATTGAAAGAAATAATTATGTGAGGCCACAAATATGTGCACGTACTCTGTGCTTCAGGGTGTATTTTATTAAGCTATTCTACAATTTCGGCTCATACAGAAATTGTTGCAGCTTGATTTGCAGTGCCATCTAGTGCATTGATAGGGTGGGTGATTTGAATTAAGAATCAAAGAAAAAACGTGCTTGCAAACTGCCTCAGGGTCTTGTGCCAGCCTGGGGTACATTATTTTGAATACGTAGACATCTCCTCTGAAATTTGAGTGTTTTAAACATGTTTCCAGGTGAAACCCTTGTAACTGCAAGTCAATTCAGAAAATCTTGGTCTCTATACTTGAATTGATTCTAAGACCATGTGCTCTTTATAAAGTGGAAGAGATCTGTTGCTTTCTTATTTGCTGGTGGATAATGATAGCAGAGAGGGAGAGCTGTTGATGAGTTACAGTGTCTTGAGTTTAACCTTGAGTCAATAAATTATCAAACTGAATAAATTAGATAAATAACTGTCAATATATATTTTAGTGAAATTTTGTTGGTTTCTCATTTAATATTTGGGTAAATAGACTTGTGGAATATGGTCATGATGAATATACTATAGGTAGAATGCAGAACTGGTTAGAAAACTAGCCAGAGATTAGTTGCTGTGGTTCACTATCAGAATGAGAGGGTACTTTCTGTAAACTACCTGTCAGGAGGTGCTGATGTTATTGTGTTATGAGACTTGAGCTGCTACTCCTCATTGTTTACAGGGATTTTAATCTGCTTCCTCTGTCAAGCATTAGATTTTAAATAGGAAAAAAACCCAAATGTGGGGCCAGATTATGACAGGATGTCAGGATGAACATCAGAAATTTTACATGCGCATGCTCCTAGCTGTTAAGAGTGAAGAGTAATGAAGGTTTCTTCAGCCACTGTAAAAGAGGTTCAAGGTAAATTACTTCATAATTTTGACAGACTGCGTGCATAGCAGCAAGAAAAGAGGATCCAAAGCCATGGTATTATGGCTTATTGGTTATGTACTAATTCTGTTATGTATCTGAAAGCCAAGTTTTTGTGTTTAGCTATGAATTGAAAATGCTGTCATGTTTCTATCCCTCAGGGACTGAATACATCCCTGACATCATTTTACATTCCTGTAGACTGGAAGACTTGTTCATATATTAGCATTTTAAAAAGACATTAGAGATTAAATATATGTTGCTTCTACCTAAAGTGCCTATGAAATATGAAAGGGTGAATTTTGTTACATCTGTCTGTGTCCACCAGTGGCTGAACCTTTGTTATGGTTGTTATATGTTTGGGACTTCCTCTTTTGTTTCAGTTTGGTTTTTTTTAAGCACCTCTTGCTCCCTGTTGTCAAGTTAAGGCCATTAGTGGGTTCCAAGCCACACTGTCACATCAGTCAAAAGTCATGAGGTTTTTTTTCCACTTTATCAGAGTGAATCAAGAAATTAAACTAGGAGGGAAGGAATAATTGTGAAGATTCTGGGCCCAGCTGGAACAGAAGGCAGGAAAAGAAGCACCTTGTGCTCTGAGTTTTCAACAATGTATAGGAGGTTTCTGGTGTCAGACTTTAGTGTCCCTTGCCTAAAACTACATTTAAAGAAAGAAGTCCATTACCATATGGAACTTGTTGGGAAAAGATTGATCATAGTGTAATTGAGCTTCATGTAAGTAGGGAGATCTGTCTGTGTCTGGAAGGAACAGAAACAGGTCAAAATAGGGAATTGCAGGATCTCTTGGTCCACTGTCTTCCGGAATGCATGAATCTCGAAGCTTTCAAAGGGTTTGCTCTTCAAGCGTTTGCTCTTTTGGTAGCTTATCAAACCCAGAGTGACTTTCCCACCTTGGTTGCCGCCTTCTTCCTCAGCAGTAGAGATATCTAATGCTCTGTCTACACTAGATATCTATAATTACTTAACTTTTATCAGGAAAGAGACCATGACATTGCCATGTCAGTAAAGAGCTATTCATGTTTATCTGTGATACTGACTTACGTTCTCACTGCAAGTGGTTATAGCAGCAAAAGATACTGTGAGCAGTGCACAGACATCCTGCTGTCTCCTCAAACTTTTCCTTACCTTGTCTGTATAGTATTTGGGAAAATTATGGGACTTTATATTCTCATATTTTCTTTTTTATTGACTATGTATTGTTTAAGTTACGGTTGAAGATCTCCTGGTTCTTTATTTTGATTATTAATTGCTGTTAGGTATCACTACCAAAAGTGCAAACTGTTAGTCTGTTTTTGAAGTTGAGATTTGGGAGTAAAATACCATGCATGTTCAATGGAGCTACTCCATGGAAGAACCGTCTTTCTTTCCAACTGCATGAGATACATGAAATAAATATGCTCAGATGACTTGTCAGAGCTAAAATGCTATGTGGCAGCTCTATTTTCTCTTTAAAGGTAGTTTAATTCTCATCTGTATCATAATATTAGCAAATTAATAAGCTGAATGAAAACCTCTCTTCTTTGTCTTGCTGAACTTTCTGAGACTGACTTTCTGCTTAAAACCAAGATGAATATTAGTCACTGGTTTTGTGAGAACTGAGTGTTTTTCTTTGGAACTCACTAAATACCCTAACCATTGGACTACTGATTTTTCTTGGATAGACTTCACAAGTGCTTTGGCTATGAATTCTGTACTTTTCTTTGACCATGTGTTTTCCCCTCAGCATATAGTTCATCTTTCTCCTTCTAAAATGCGATTAATCCATCACGGCTAATGTACCTTCATCGCCACAGGAGTACCTACATATGGTGCATTATATTGCATCTCTTTAGTTTCTGAACATTGCTGTATGTTCTTTCCGGAATTGTTTAGTATGTTTTATAATATGCCTTGCATGTTTGCAGAATAAAGAAATGATAAATTATGAGAGGATGCATCTCATATAGTTGTTTCATTCTCTATAGCTGACAGATGAATTTTCAGGTGCAAATTGTACCTGTAATACTCCATGCTAGAAAACAGCCCCTGTTTAGTGATTTACTTGGTCCCGTGGTGCCCAGATTGGTAGCTGTTGATCTCTGAAGTCTGTCTCCTTTCTTTCACACCTGAGTTTTCTTCGTCTTGTGATCCATTTGGCTCACTCTAAGCCATAGTGCAAGGCATTCTGTAGTCTGTGTAACGAGCTGTAAAGTTTGTATTCAAATGGTAATTGGAGCCTTAGCTACAATAGCCATATTAATAAAAGCTTTTTATTGTAGTTTCCATCTAAGAAATGAGGATAGCATCACCACCCAATTTACAGGGGAGCTGTAATAATGCATAATTAGTGACTGTAAGGTATGCGAGTGCTGTAGGAATACTGAACTCACAGCTCTAGGAGAGCAAAAAAAATTCCATTGATTTCATAGTACCTAGATTTCACTTACTTTTTTTAATGAATCAGGCCCATAGATTGTTTTAGATTTCTGAGAGGGTTTTTTTTGTTGTTGTGGGGGTTTTTTGGTTGGTGGAGTTTTTTGGCGGGATTTTTTTTTTAGCATTTTTTTTTGTTTGTTTGGGTTTTTTTGGTTTTTGGGGTTTTTTGGTTGGTTGGTTTTTTGGGGGGGAGGGGTTGTTTGGTTTTTGTTGGTTTGTTTTGTTTTTCTTTTCCCCCCTACAAGGAATTAAGTATGAATATAATGGCATAATATTTAAATAATAACAATTCCAGTGCAAAGCTCCCTGCTTACTGCTAAGGCTAAGCTGAAATCTCCCTTGAATAAGTGAAAAGTTCTTTGTTCAGTCTTTCAAAGCAACGCTGCATTCTGAGATACTGGAATCTGGAGTGCCTGTGCCTCTGCTTCTGTCTTCTATTGTTACAGAAACCCTTGTGAATTATAAACACAGGAGACAGATTAGTTATATTTAATCATAATTATCATAACTGTTGATGCTGTAGAATCTTGGTGATTGACCCTCGTAGCAGCCCTAATGAAAGCAGTCTGACAGTGAAGTTAATCAGTACAAAGGAGTGTCACAATGTGTTCTCACCAGGAATGGTAGTAGTACTTTGTATGGTGGCACTATCCTCAATCTGTGATATTATTTATGTAAATAATAAAAAAATAATAAAAATTTTAAAAAATCTGTTTTCCTAGCAAGGGATTTTTCATCTTATTTCATATGCTTTAAGGTCATAATTTAAAGTCTCATAGCTATTTATCAGTAGAATTACTGAATACAGGTGCTTTCTATATATACTCCTGGTCTTACAAATTTATTGGTGAAATAAACTGGATCATTGATTATAGAAAATAAGAAAACACAATTTGCCAATAGAAGGTGGGTCTATGAGGTGGTGCTTTAGTTGTGTTAATATTAGGAATGTATAATCAAGAGATCAGGACAGTAAGCTGGAGTCTTGAACATAGAGATTTGATCCCTGCTGTTATAATACTATATGTAACCTTTGCTGTGTCATTTATTCTTCATGTGCCTAAAATAATTCCCTTCGTGTTTAAAGGGTAATAGCTCTGAGTGCTGAATAGGGTGTGATGGCGATAAATTTTGAGAGTCTCTGGTCATCTGTAGCTTTAGGAGACATGTAAATTGATGGATGTAATGAGACAAAGGTAGAAAAATGAAGCAGAAGATGAAACTTTTTGCTTGTAAAACGAACTGCTCCTGCTGATTGAATGGGAGATGTTTTTTTGTGGTTTTGTGATTTTAAAATTAGTTGTCACTAACAGATTGTTGCTTTGCAGGTTGTCTGAGGGGGAAAAATAAAGGAAAATTTTAAGGAGACTGTGATAAGGACATTGTTTTCCAGCATTTTACTGTTCCATAAAGTTTATTTAAATAAATTTATTCAATATTTACATTTCAATTTATAAGAAAAAAGTATTTAATTTAAGATATCTCTAGTTTTTGAGTAATTTCTATTGAAATAAGTGAGTGCATCCTACAAAACAAACAAACAAACCAACCTTTCTTTTTCAAGGTAGTCTTTTTTTCTGTGAGTAGGTGGTGTACTGTGTGTTCAAGGTCAACACAGTCCAATCCTGATGTAAGTGATGACTTGACTTCAGCGGGATAGTTATCTGTTCTCTGAATGGTGACTTTAGAGCAGGATTTCCTAAGATTCAAAAACAGTTAAGTGGAGTTTATCCAACTACTTCTCATTATCAAAAGCTGTGTTTCTCCATATTACCTCCGTTATTCAATCCTTTACGCTATGTAGGTAGCACAGTAACTCCGTAAAAGTAACCATGCTTTCTAATTGCATTCTTTTATTTTTTTTTTTTTCTTTTTTTTCCTTCTAACTAGAGTCTGTGTGTATTTACACCACCAGGAGCTAAAGAAGGACAACCACGGCTCATTCCTGCAGGGCCCATTGCACATGGCACTACAGTATCTGCTTATGTAGCCAGATCCAGAAAAACGTTGCTAGTAGAAGATATTCTGGGGGTAAAAAGCTTCCTTTTTAATGAGATGATTACAGCATGTTCTTAGAATGAATGATTTAATACTAAAATGTTTATTGAGCTGAATGTATAATGATAGAATTCACATCTGTCTTGCTACCAAGAAAATAAAATTGAGTTTGGATTGGCTTGATGGAATAATTTCAGAATATCTCATTTATTTTTAAGTTGAAAATTATTATTTTTTTTTTAAATATTTTTTTGGTTGTCAGATAAGGAAAGTAATGGAGTAATAGTACCACAATCACTTACAGAGAAAAAAACCACCTAACAGTCAAACTCCTGTCCTCCTGGTCTTGAAATACTCAGTGTGTTAATCCCAGTCAAGATGACTTCTATACAGTCAGCCAAAGTTTGATTTAATTATAATGCGGGGCTCACACTGACAGGAGTGTCAGTCAGAATTCTGGTTATTAGACAGGCTTTTGATCTCTGCTTCCACTAGTGTAAAGCTACAATACCTGCGTGAAAGGCACACCAATGTAAGTGATACCAAAATTCAGGCCTTTGTCCGTAAAAGGAGTCAGAAAATCCCAAGGTGATACTCTTATAACTCTTGGCACTCTATGTCTCTTCTTATTTTTTTTTAGGTTTTTAAACTTTATGCTTTAGTCAAATCTATACAATTGTTCAAAACTGGTATTTAAACCGTGCTTTATGAGAACACTTTATGATCAGCTATGTAGGTTATGAGAACACCATGGAAGTTTAAATTCTTTTCTCTTTTCAGTGTTTTCTGTCCTTTGAGTTCTGTCCAGAACAACAATCTTTGGATACTGTGGCCAAAATTGGACATCACTGTCTCTATTTTAAAAAATACTTCTTACAAAAATGTATGACCTTTATTGGGCAAATCCAGGATATAAACAAAATACCAAATGCCTAATATGAGTACACTTAAGCAGAACCACAAATGCAAAAGGCAGAAACTGCTTTTCCCTGTAGTAACAGTCAGTGCTTTCTCTGGACTGTCAAGATTTTTTATGTTGTTAGTGTTCTTCCAGTCACATATAGGGCTTGAATTGTTACTGGTAATTTCCAATTAATATCATTATATTCTTGTATCAAGGCTTGTATGTTTTGATTTTACATTTGTAATAAACTTGGTGAGGGGAAGGTAGTGAGGAGGAGGTTTGAACTTCATTAGTTTACAGTATCAGTGGATTGTTGGCTGAACAGGGAGATTCATTTGGGTGACATGGTTTGCCTTCATGTGATTTTAGGAGCATCTCAACAGTGAATGAAAAGTGCTTGCAGATAGACTTACTAGCCATTTTTTTGGGGGAGAAGGGACAAAATTAGAAAGTGGAAGCAGGAGGCTCATGTTCCAAAGTGCTTCCCACTCTCCCATGTCTGTTATTTGTTCCTAGTGGTTCAGATTGATTGTCACTTGGTAATTAAGGTGGAGATTACTTGCTGGGTTTTTTTGAGAAAGGAGAGATTTTAATCAGCCTTCAAGGAGTGTCTGTCTTGGCTAAGCACAGCCTGCAGGGAACATCTGGTACAAATCAGGTACTGAAGGACTGATGTGCAATGAAGTGGGTCTCCTGCATTTCACATTGGCTTCTTACTGCCTTACTAACTGTAACATCCAGGTGGTTTCTCAGGTGATCGTTAGTTTTCCTGCATGGGGAACTGAAGCTGTAAATCTTTGGACATCCCGTGTGTAGATTAAAAATTACAAATTTGGGCCTTTTATAGCAGCTGGTAGGATTATTTTACCATTTGTTCTTACAACTTTTGCACTGGTTTATTCAGGATGCATAAGCAAGGGAAGGAGAAACATTCTTACTCTCAAGTATAATTTTGGGGAACACATTTTCCTCCTCAGTGGTTGGTTGAGGATTATAACTTTGTATAACTGAAAGCCTTAGCCTCAGGTTTTGGTTTTTGTTCTCTTGCAAGCGCTGCTGTCTGCTTTGCAGCACTGAAATCTGAGCAGTTCACTTGATTACAAATGCTTTGGGTTTCTTTGCGGGGAGAGGGAAGTGGATGGTGAGGTTGTGTTGTTCGTTTGGGTTTTTGCTTAAATCTGGACTGGCATTAGCAATGAAGTGCTGGTTTGGCTGCCTATGAGATCAGAGAAAATGTATTATAAAAACAAATCTAAAGCTGGGTCCAATATCACAGCTAATTCTGACTTTACATCATTAAGGTTATCTGTATATGTAAATTAATGCTGGCTTTTTAATTGCATTTTTTTCATACATGTCTTAATACTGTGTGTGAATTATGCTGAGATATGAGGTTTAGTGAATTTTGCCATTTTCCCGCAGATTTGATCAGCCAGGAGGGGGAGGAAAATGTCAGTATATCTTTCATGTTAATGTTGTGGTACTTGTATTTTATCACATTATGTTTGTATTTCCTAGGATGAGCGATTTCCCAAAGGTACTGGACTGGAATCAGGGACACGTATCCAATCTGTTCTGTGTTTGCCAATTGTCACTGCAATTGGTGATCTAATTGGTATCCTGGAGCTTTACCGTCACTGGGGCAAAGAAGCCTTCCACCTTAGTCACCAAGAGGTGAGCTCATGCTCGGCCTTTGCCCACTTCCCTGCAGTGGTCAGCACTTCAGGATCCCTGCTCCTCCCTCTCTTCTCTCACTCTTCTCATGTGTTTTGTACCTTTTTTGTACTTGGTTGTTGTTCTCATTAAATGTTATTTATTGAAAAACAAAGCAGTGATTTGTATTCTCAGGAGGTAAAATGTACATATTCAAGTACAAGGACACATCAAGAATTTTACCTTGTGTTCTTTTGTGGAAAAACAGGTTCAAGATTGCTTTATTGAATATAAACTCAGTACAGAGTTGTTAGAGAAGTTTATGCAGGAGCAGGCAAATGAAATGTAAGTGTAAATCAAATGTCAAAACCTGAAATAGCTTTATATAAAAAGGAAGCTGACAAGTTATCCCAAGTCTCAATTTTAACTTTCCAGCAAAGCTTTATTTTACAGTATAGAAAGATTAGGTGTTTTTTAGTGGGCTTCTTTGGTGTGGCTTCTCAAGTAAATGAGCCCTATTGTAAAACATAATGTTGCAACATTGTAGCAACAGTATAGTTAAGTCTCAATCGTAGGTCTCACAGGAGGGAAAGCGATTTTATTTTAAAACAGAAGCAAAGCAAAAGAGATTTCATGTGTTTGCATTCATGTTCTTAAACTTATAGACACCAAGTTGTGTGTGTCCAGGAGGTATTTCCAGGAATCACACACGGAGATGCACATAGTCTTCCCAGGATGCCTTTCACTGGGAGGTCAAGGAATGCTGGCTGTTGAGTCCTTATGTCTCCTGGTTTCTTCTTAGGCTGCCAACCGTGTGCTGGTTTTGGATCAGCCTTTTCTTTAGCCTTTATGAGCTGACATTTTCTGTCTCTCTGGCCTGTCTATCTCTTTGAGTGTCAAGATTTATTTGCTGTCATTTGTCTCCTGACTTAGATGTCCTTAGAAACTGTAAATTACAGTACCTGGATGACCTGCTAATCTAGGTGCTGTTCATAAAGCTCTCTTCTGCCTTTTTTTCCCTTTTCTTTCTTTCTGATGCTTCCTCATCCTGATATTCTCATTCATAACCGCCTTCCCATTTCCACAACTATGCTTTATGCTGCATGGTTTATTGTATTTATATAAGGCCTCTGTAGCTGCATTGTTCATACATGTCCATTTGTTAATCCAAAGTTATGAGCTGTTAGCCAAGTACAAACAAATTTGATAATGGAGCAGGTGTCTCAAAGGCTATCACTGTATTAAAAGTATTCTAAGTGCATCTTAGCTTTCGTGTCTGGGTGAGGACCCTTGTTATATCCCATCTATGCATTAAGAAGACTCGCACATTAGGAAAAATGTAGCATTCTTTTCTCTCTGTACCCTTCTCCAGAGAAGGGAACCTGAACACAGAGGTTAGGACAAAATGGGGTGAATTCTGGCCAGGTCTGTGTCTCAACAGTGGTGCGATAAGCACCATGAAACAGTGTAACTGCACTGAACAGGAATGATTTTTGTGAAAAGAACAGAAAATTGCAGACAAGAAACAGTAAAACTAGCCCTTCCAAGGAAGGAAAACCCATCAATATTTGTGAACTTTATATTCCATTTATCAGTAACCTGAGTAGCCTAGCACACATGTGATACTCATACATGTATGTTAGTTGGGCAATCAATGTTGCTTCAATCTCAGTGTTACACCTGATATTTTTCCATGAGATAGTAGAGGTCATGGTAAGGAACTGGGTTTTAGTGTGGTGGTGCCAGTGTCCCGGCTCATGGAACAAACAACAGGTATTCATACAAAACCAGGCTTCATTAATTCTGCTGCTTACATACAATGTATGTATTTTTTTAAATTGTCCTATTGTATTAATCAATCTACAGTTCAGATAGGTTTCAGACATACATCGTTCTGTGCAAATATGAATCTTTAGTGCTATATGAAGTACCATTTGTAACTGAAGTTCATGAATGTACTACTAGAAAAAGGCTGGCTGCTAAGCAGAAGTATTTTATTAGTAAATTTAAAATATTTTAAGGTCACTTTCTGAGTGTTCTAAAGCATTCTTTTAATTTTCAGGTTTCAGAAAGCCTTTGGATACCATTAGCAGTTTTTATAAAATGTGTACAATGTGTTCTGTTTGGCAGGAGGGAGAGTACTTCAGGAGGGTATGCAGCAGCAACCCTCTTCTACTTCCATCCTCTGTGTTCCTATAAAGCTCCTGTGTTTCAAGGACAGGAGATTATTCATGGTAGCACATCTTAGTTAACTGCAGTTTACATGACATTTGTTTGAAATGTTGCCTGGAAACTGTCATACTTAAAACAGTAGTCTTGAGCTGAGGGATCAGGTCTGGTTCTTCTGCCACTGAAATGGTAATGATTGAAACAGTGCCTGTTTACAGCTGGAAATAGCTGTGGCTCAAGAGATACAGCCCCAGAAAGCTGTTATGGAATATTTTATTTCTGTGGCAGGTGCCTTTCAACAATGTACATAATGTAACTCTTAAAGCCCTTGGCTTATGAGACATTTGTTTTGATGTTTTATTTCTGACCTGATGGGTTCCCAGTAGTGCTTCTGAAGAGCATTTGTAAGCATTTTCTGGATACTGATTTTGTGACTGAATGTGCCATACTAAAATTGAAACACCTGCAAGTATACCAAGATTTTCACAAAATAACCATCTTCCCAAAGCCTGTCTAAAACAGCTCAGTCAATTTACTTAGCAGCTAGGTGGGAGAAGACAAGAACATTTTCAAGGTTTCTTCAGAGTTAGTTTCTTCTCTTTTGTTTCAGGTTGCAACAGCAAATCTTGCATGGGCTTCAGTAGCAATACATCAAGTACAAGTAAGTGTGGGTGGTTTTTAATTTTTTTATTGTTTAACCCTTCGCCAGAACTTGATTAGTAGGAACACGGATAATGATCAAATTTAAGCGGAGGTCACTATTAGAACATTGATTCAAGCCCTTCCTTGGACCTGGGAAAAATACGCTTACATTTTGGTGGGCATTATGCTGGTTTTCCTCCCTTGCAACTGTGGATCAAAACAAAGACAAAAACCAAAACTAAACCTTTAACAAAGCGGTTATATAGCTGTTAAAGCAGAATTATAACAAGTAACTTTGCAGTTTTTTCTTGCAAGAAGGCAACTGCTACGCTAACTAGTTGCTTTCCTTCTGCTTTGGTATTCAATTTGAGATTATTAGGTGCTGCTGGTTAAGCCTACTTTAAGCAATCCTTGCTAGCTGCTTCATGGGCCTGTAACTACTCCCACTAAGGATGCTTCATGCTGTCCCTAGTCGGGTGCTTAATGAAGCTCCACACAGTGCAAGCTGCTTGTAGCAAACCCCAGCAGCTTTGCTAATAGGTTTTATTACTTCAGCTAATAGAAGACAACTCTGAAACTAAACATATTCTGTCAACTCACAGAAGATGCTAAAATAGATTCTTCTGTCAGTTCACAGGAAGAAGCTCATGACATGCTTTTTTTCAAGGTGTCTTTCATACATTTGGCAGAAGACTTGCTGAAAGCTTCCTGCTTTGCTTTTCTAGGCTCTAATATTTGCCGCCTTGGTGCTGGAAGTCTTTGACTTTGGGATGATCATTTAGCTGGGCTTATTTAGGCACAATTAGCTGGCATAGACTACCGTATGCTAGTAGAATTGAAATTATGTGCAGTTGTAGCTTCACTTTGTGACAGTGACTCCCTCTTAAACCACAAAGTCTTTCACACCTACCAAAACAAGGCAAGTTTAGTTCAAGCCTATTCAGTGGTCATTTTTGTTTCTCTCCCTCCCTTTTCTCTCCCTCCCAAGAAGGCTTGCCTTTCTTTCTTGAGTTTTTGCATGAGAAGAATGTAGGAGTTTTTATCTGGTGTTGGGCTGTACCTTACTCACAGCTGGGCTTTAGGAAGGAGTTGATATCAAGATGTTGTACCTAGGTTCCTAACTATATTCATGAGTAAGGCTTATGGATGTATTTTATCATATTTCACATATTTATTTGTATCTGCATTGCACAGATGAAAGACACTACTAGTTCTGAACAATATTTATTTGTGTGAAAGGTACAAACAGCACAGGCTAGTGTTCTTTTTTTGACCCCAGTGCTTGCTGTAGTAATATACAGGTATACAATTTTACTTTAGATACAGAGTATGCAATCAGGTGAAGTAAAAATGCAGTTCAGAGCTTTGCTTAATCTAACACTTTGCTTCTAAAATTTAGTATGCATACTGGCTTTTGTGTTCATACTCATGCTGATTTTTCCTGAAGTTGAGCATATATTGTCTGCTACTTGGTTTACCTAGATTTGCCTGATGTCAGTCTTCAGTTTCTACTTTGTCGGTCTGCAGTTGCTACTTTGCAACCTGGAAAAAAGGATAAAAACATGGCAAGGAAGAAAGCAAACAAAATATTTGATATTCTCAGAAGAGCTGAGTGTCTGGATAAGGAGGTGTCATTAAGTTGATTCTGTAACTACATTCAGTGGCAGCCTTTGAGGCAGCATGAACAAGTGTAACAACCAATATGTTTTCAAAGAGTCATAACAAAGATGCTGCTTGCATTTGATAGTTTTAACTCGGCAGCTAAATAGCTAAGGTTGAAGCCCAGCACACAAATCCAGCTTTTAATTTTGTGCAGTGCTGTAGCGTATGTATATACTAATAGTGGTATTTTTTCATACAAATTAAATGGCTAGAGTGTGTGACTTCAGTTTCACTCTGACTTCATTGTTCTTCTGGAGCTAATGATAACGTGATCTGTACTTCCAGGTGTGCAGGGGCCTTGCCAAGCAGACTGAACTGAATGACTTCTTGCTTGATGTATCGAAGTAAGTGTGATTTGCACTATGATCTCATAGATTTACTTGATGAGCTTTTCTAACATGGCTCTTCCAGTCTACCTGTGTTTTGTACTGTAGCTCACAAGCAGGTGTGAAGACACACCTTGGAAGGTAGGTGAACTTCATCACAGGGACAAGAACGCAAGTTGTGGGTGGCAGTGGTGCATACTTGTTAAAATTTTTTTTTGGTGGTGGTGCATCTGATTATACCTTACAGAATTTGTTTGTTCTTGTGGTCTTTTGCATGGGTTTTTTGCCTGTGTTTCCCCTCTTCTGTCAGAGTTAAACATGGCCCTCTTTTCAGAAGTGACAAATAGGATTGCCATCTCTTTTGATGGCTAATTTTAAAAGGCTTGAAAGGACTTTATGAAAAGATAGTTAGCTTGCTTCAGCTTCCTCCCCCCTTTTTGTGACGTGCAGGTATATACACACACGCATGAGTATACACACTTCAAGGATGTATCCTTGAAGGATCAGGGCTGCCTGATTCTTTGCGATTGTTCTTCCCCTGCATTTTTGGATGCTCTGTTTTCATTTTCAAAGACTATAACTGCACATACTATGTTTTTTTCAATTTCTTGTCACAATAACTGCAAGATTAAATTGGAAACACAGAAAAAGCGTAAAAGCTTGGGCTTAGACTTGCAAAGCCAGTTTACTGTCTTAGGTGATCTGCTCTTCCTTCATCCCTTTCTCTTTGTTGCTGCTATTAGCGTCTTTAAATAGTAGAGATAGCCAATAAATTAAAAGACAAACCAGAGTTGTACTTTTGCTAAATCACAGTCTGGGGTATTCAACAGCATTTTATCAAACTAGTTGGTTGAAGAATTTCTAAGTGTATCACAAAGGACTGATGATACTGTGGAAAAATGAGATGTCTTGAATTTTTGCTGTTACAAACAACTTCTGTGGGTCATGATGAACAATTCTTGAGCTGATGAGATTAGAAGACATCCAAGATTCCTATGCCATTGCTCAGGAATGCAGGCAGCCTGACCCCACTGGAATGGGGAGTGATACACCGCAGGGAGGAGTCTACCCCTTGCAAAGACAGCAAGCTGGTTGTATCCAGATGTTTTTCCTAGCTTTTTTCCTCAGGGATGACCTTTATTTTTTATTTCAGCTTCAGTTCAGAGTGTGTCTCTTAAAGGACACTCTCATTATTCCCTTGCTGGAGCTATCCTCTTGCTGCAGATCTTGCACCATTATGATCCTTTCCAGGGTGCTTTTGTGCTGCTAATATCTGTACTGAGCTAGTTTACCAGATAATTCTGGATTAATCTGCCCAAATTTATGGACTTGCAATTTACTTTTGGTATGTAGTACCAAGATTGTTTTAAAGACCTTTGTAATTATTTGAATTTTTTAAGATAAAAACCGCAATAAGTACTGCGAATATTTAATATGTATTTCTATAAGAAAATACTATTCCTAGAATTATTTAGTTTTAACAAAAAAGAAACCTTATGTTTTCAGCCACAAAATTGGGGTATAATTTAATAACAACTTTATGAACTTCTTGTAGGTAAAGACTTGCACTAACAAGAAGGTAATTAGTTTCCTCTTAGAAATGGTCTGTACTTTTTCTTACATGGAAGGAGAATTTCCTATTCAGTAAGGAAATTGTTAGCATGCAATGTCACTCGGACATGTTCCATAACATTTTAGAAAGGGCAGAGTATGCAGTGCTCTACCTCTTCATGTCCCTGACAATGTAAGACTAGCATATATTTCCTTTCCACTAGACCCAAACAGAAGTGAGCTGTATATATGTTCAAGGCCATGGGACAATGTCTTTCTGTCTGCTGGGAACGTTGTAATCCAAGGGCTATTAAGACTTGGCATTTGGAAGGTTTAGATTTCTTTTACTAATAAGTTTGACCTTTATCTTTCAATGTTCTTGACTGTCCTTGGACAGTTACCGCTTCGCTGTGAAACTGAAATACCTTATTTATTTATTTTTTTTAAGTCACAAGATCAGTCTTTTTCTGCAACTTCGACATGCTACACCTGGCTTGACAGAGAAGACTCAATAAGAGCTTTATCAGTTGTTGCCTTTTAAGAACTGGCATTAGGAATTAAGAATTGCCTGTTAAGAATTGGGTAATAGGATGTAAATTTATCTACTATAAATAGTTTCCCTTAGTTCTTAGTACATAGTCCTCTATACGTAAACCTAATGAGATATTTTGAAAACATGTAGATTATATAAAAAGCAATAGAAGAAATATTTTCTTTTGGATTGCTTTTCCTTTTTACTTGTCCTTTTAAAATTGCCAGTGTGTAAAGGGTGCCAAAGCATTTTGATACATTCTTAGTGTTGCTCAGCAGGGGCCTATTTAATCCATGGCAGGCAGTTTGCTAGTTTTTTTCTACAGACAAAATTCCACATATTACTGAGAATATGCTACAGTTCAGTCATTGTAGAATAATGGTATAAAGAGACAAAGCTACAACCAATTCTCAATTCCATTGTGCTATAGCAAGCCAGTCAGTGATTTTCAAGATGCAGAAGTTTGTCCTCACCTATTTGTGCTCCACCGTTAAGCGATCGTGACACAAGAGCCCACAACAGTTGTTTGAGAAATGTTTGCCTAAATGCCAATATTTACCGACTCCTCTTTCTCTGCAGAACGTATTTTGATAATATAGTTGCAATAGATTCTCTACTTGAACATATAATGGTAAGTTGTCTTTTTCACTTCTGAGTTTATTACTCTTAGTTATTAAAGTCCTTCATTCTCCTTCCCTTGAAGTAAAACATCGTATCATTGAAATATATGAGCTGGTTATAATGGACACGTAATACGAACAGTATTAACATGTCCATATGGAAGAATGTGGCAGAGGTCAGATTGATACTTCATTCATTTCACAGCTTTCATAACTAATGAAGCATGACTGTCTCTGAACTAGTTACTATTGCATTTTAGAGAAGGTTTGGGAAAAAAAAAAAGCTTCTGTTTTTATTTCAGCTTGTATCAATTCCTTTTTCTTAAATTCAATTTGCTACATGCTACAACACACTCCTGAAGAAGTTATTGTCTGTAGGAAGGACTAGAGGTCAGACATTACTACATTACTCCTGGAGTGTTTCTACCAGTTGCTGAATGAGATATACAAGACATGACTTTTTATTTTTCACTTTGCAGAAGTAGTTCCACCCATAACTGAAGTGAGAGTCAGTCAGTGTTTTATACAAAAAAAAAAAACCAAAACAACACAACACTAAAATCAAGTCTATTGAAATAACTAATCAATGAATTAAAGTATGGTTCAGAAACAGGTTATGTTTCTGAAACAATTCAGAGTTATTTCCTGGATTGTGCTTACAAATACCTATGGACTGGATGTTTATAGCATGGTTTGAGTGTTTGATAAGTAAGTTATGCTCTTTGACTTTAGGCACATTCATTGCATAGTTATTGTTTTTCATGAATGTAAATCCTTATCAGGTCTGTGAAACCATTGTTTCAGTTTGTGTATTCAAAAAATTACTCTCCAACACTACTCCAGTGCTTGCTTCAGTCTTCAAAGTGATATTCTTAACCAGACTATTCAAAAACAACAAACTTAGAATGCAAACAGTATTGAAGTGGTTTTATTTAGAAACTTGAATTAGTAATGGAAAATATTCTGCAGTGTTTGTCCTATTCTAGTTAGTACGCAGTCAAGAGTTCTGCACACAGGACACATTTCTGAAGATTGACTTTTCCAATTTAAATGAACTGCTTAAAAATAGCTTAACATTTAAAAGAACTGTTGTAATATAACATATGGCATTGAGAACAAATATTGATGTTCTTCCCTGTTCTTTCACTATGAATAGGGGTTTGGTGGAATACACAGCAATAAAATATGCTTACTCTTTCATCTTCTTTTCCATGATTCTGCATTTTAATACTTGTTTTATACTTGGCTTCCTTTGTAAGCTGTAGCAGTTGGCTCTTTCTTGGGCCAATTAATTGAATTACGTGTATGCACATTTATTGCCATTTTATGGGAGTGTTATTTTATCATTATGTGGCTTACTCTATGTCTCACAGTGAGAAAAGAGAATTCAGTTTTATCTACTTCACTCTTTAGTGATTGCACATAAAAGTTTGATTTGTTCCTGTAATAATAAATACAGAGATTTTAGCATTCTTTTTAATTTTCATTAAAATCTCTCAACACAGATCCACTTCAGATCTGCCTGCTCTAACATGCAGTTACTATACTTTCTGAGCAGATAAGAAACATAGGAGACATCCAAATTGGATAGAGCAGGTGCTTGAACCTGACTGGCATCCCGAGTTAACAAAATGATCCTTGTTTGACTTTGGTTCACTCTTTTCCCTTGTTCTCAGAAAGTCCATCATATGTCTGAGAAACATTTCAGTGAAGAGCTGCTGTGTTCCCAAGATCAGATTTTGTACTGACAATCCACGGTGGCTGGCAGTTAGTTTTGCTAAGATGAAACTAGTTGTTTCGAAGTATGATAGATACCATGCAAGTCTTTTGTTCTGTTGTGGTACTTCCTTGACTGTGGGTGGTACCTTAACAGACTTTGGTTAGTTCACATAGTTCAAGTTGCAGCTTTTGTGCAAGAACTGGCCCTGGCATTAGGAGGACACAGCCATTTTCTATTCTGCTGCATAGAATAGGGCAATCCATAAAGGCACTTCTAATCTTTCCTATTTGTTCGTTGTTATGTATTACAGGCACATTAAGGTTCTTTAGAAACAAACACTAGCCACTACCTTATGTCTATCTTTGCTGGATATTCAATACCAAAAAGCCAAAAATATTCTTAGGTCTTGGTATATCCTATCTATTTAACAGCAAATAAAGATGAATAATGTCTCAACATAGAGGGAGGAATGCTTTTTTTTTTTTTTTTTTTTGAAAGCATTCCTTGTACTTGAAAAACAGCATAATAGGAAAGCCTTTTTTCTTTTAGCAAATATTGAAGCCTCTAAAGATATTCCCACAAATCTTAGAGAAGAACACTCTGATTTACAAAAAAATACTGAATAGAAGAGACACTTTCATTTTGAATTGTGTCCTAAAAGATTGCTCTGAAGGTGGATGCTCCTTTGAACAGATTTTCATACTGGGTAATTTCTCAAAACTTGTAACTTCTAAGGAATTATGTTTTTATCAGATAAATGACTGAAGATAATGTAACTCATGACCATTAACTCTAGGCTTCTTTTCTTATCTATAGATATATGCAAAAAACCTGGTGAATGCAGATAGGTGTGCACTCTTCCAGGTTGACCACAAAAATAAAGAGCTGTATTCAGACCTTTTTGATATTGGAGAAGAAAATGATGGGAAACCTGTCTTCAAGAAGACCAAAGAAATAAGGTAAGAGTAGCTAGCAGAAGAATGCAGTTTCATTATAACTACAGATGTGCAGGCATTTTATTACCCAGTCTCTGTGCCTATCTGCAGGTACCCTGACAATACTTGTCATACTGTGATATCATTCCCACCAGGACCCGCCTCCAGAAGGTAGTACTTCTGGGAATGACATTGCAGTGCCATCGAAACAACGTCTCTGAAGCTATAACGTCACTCCTGGAAATGCCGTCTTCCGGAGGCGGTCCTTTTGGAAATCATGTTGGGAAAAAAACAGAGGTGTTCTGAGGTAGGTAAAGGTGCAGGTAAAGGTGCACCTAATCCATAGTCTGCCAGTATGGGACTTTTTTTCCCAAGAGGAGTTGAAATTTGTGCAATTCAAGCACATCCAAAGCAAGGAAATCACAATTTATGCTTTTTACGTGTGGATTAGGCATGTATAGACTCTCATGTGGACTGATCATTAGTTTTGAAGCTTTCAAGTCCAGTAGTTTAGCTTTATTTTTTCTCATGTGAATTTAGAGTATTTTCAAACATTTAATTAATTGTGATTCTGAAGTATGCTTGAAATGGCGAATTTGAAAATGTATGTGGGCTTGAAATGAATACACAGGATTCTCTGCTTAAAATTGATGTGTGCTTCATGTCGCAAGAACAGAATTTTCACACACATGTACTTTTTAATGAAAGAGGCAAAACAGCAAAGTAAATATAACATTTTTCACTTTTCAGAAGTTATGAATCCTTAATAGATACAGGTTGAGACATGCACCTTCTCAAAAGGAAAGAAATGTATAATTAAATATCCTGCACTAAAATTTTGTTAAAATACTCAGCACAGATTTTCTCAGATTTTTTTTTTTTTCATTTTCATTTTCTTCTTATACGTTTAAAGTTCTAGGCCAATATGAGATGTGATTCATGTCTTCACTTAGACTCCTTTAGACAAACTTACTCCCACTTACTACATTGTGTGAGTGAGAATGGAAGGGAGTCAAAATTGGTGCTATTTACATACTGACAAGTAAGGAGGTGGTGTAAATTGAAGAAGGTGGCCTGCTTTAACATACACTTCATACTCCTCCTTGATAATTGTTTTATTTTGCTTGTATCTCTCAGTCTTTTCTGTATGAACATTACTGAAATGTTGACTCTGAGTGCAAAGGTGTGAGCCATTTCACTGGTGCTATATACTGAAAAGTACAACTTAAGTATCTGTAAGAAAGGGACTCCGAGGCAGTCAGTCATCAGCCTTAAGCTGGTACCACGTAGAAGCCAGCAGAAGAAACAAAATCAGATGTGCACAGTGAAATCCTCTCCACTTTGTCAGTAGCTTCAGTGGGGGCAGGATACTACCCGGCTACATTTAGATTTGAAAGTGTTCCATGTGTGATTCTTTGAACTTATTTTTCTCCACAAATTCTTTTGTGCTTGTATGTCATAACTGTTTTATGTCAAAGAATTGAAAATTATTTCCTCACAAGGCAGACATGTAGACTTTTCTGATTCAACTCCAGAATATGTTTGTTGTGTTTAACTTTCTTGGGGCAATTAAAGAATGCAGTTAATACCATGGCATTGTTTGCATGTCATGAGATGAAACAAGCTAGTTATTCTGAACTGTACATGGGAAATGCATGTAATATTCAGCTTTGAAGTTTCTGCTGGTCTTTTCCCAAAGTTTATTTTGCCAAATCAACCTGCCCATCCCCTGAGGAAACAAGCTCATATTGCCTCTGATATGTATAAAGAAACAATGAATATGTAAAAGCAGTGATAAAATTAGTAGCTTGTAAAGGTAAACACAAATCTTGGGTTCTGTACAAATGTCATGTTTATTAGGCGTAACACTGAGGGTGGCTGAAGACTTGGAATTTTTGTCACTAAAATGGTCTTATTATGGCATCTTTTGTATTAAACTATGTAGCTATATAAACTGTTTCGAGAAAGTATCTGTTAGTATGTGCTTTTTATTTTATTATTTGCTACTAGTTGTTGTATTGTAAGGTTTTTCTCCTAAAAGCATCAAAATGACACTGGTTGGGAACAGATACCCATTACCGTGCCCAAGACAGATGTTTTTCCAGGTAGCTCATATTGTGGCTAACACACATTTTCATTTTTTGCAGATTTTCTATAGAAAAAGGAATAGCTGGTCAAGTGGCAAGAACTGGAGAAGTCCTTAACATCCCTGATGCCTATGCAGATCCACGCTTTAACAGGTAGGATGTTATTCATGGGAGGCGAAGACAGCTCACCCCACCATTTAGTTAAACATGGAGCTGTTGGAGCAAGTCCAGAGGAGGGCCACGAGGATGGTAAGAGGACTGGAGCACCTCCCGTATGAAGACAGGCTGAGAAAGTTGGGGCTGTTCAGCCTGGAAAAGAGAAGGCTGCGTGGAGACCTCATAGCAGCCTTCCGATATCTGAAGGGGGCTACAAGGATGCTGGGGAGGGACTCTTCATTAGGGACTCTAGTGGTAGGACAAGGGGTAATGGCTTTAAACTTAAACAGGGGAAGTTTAGGTTAGATCTAAGGAAGAAGTTCTTCACAGTGAAGGTGGTGAGGCACTGGAATAGGTTGCCCAAGGATGTTGTGAATGCTCCAACCCTGGAGGAGGAGGTGTTCAAGGCCAAGCTGGACAGAGCCTTGGGCGACATAGTTTAGTGTGAGGTGTCCCTGCTCATGGCAGGGGGGTTGGAACTAGATGAGCTTAAGATCCTTTCCAACCCTAACTATTCTATGATTCTATGAAATTGACTAGTTGAAATTTCCTCTTAGGATGCATTCATGGAGCTGTGATCCTCTGAAGAGAGACAGCCTATGTATGTCTATTGAAATGCTTTATTTTTAAGATAAATAAAAAGAATTATTTTTATCAAATCTAAATCTAATGGAATAAAATTTAGTTATTTTTCCACTTACAGATTTTTGTCCAGTTTGGTAGACTGTTACTGATTTTCTTTATTAGCCTCCCTGCAACCTGATTAGTTTCAGGAGAGGGAGAAAAAGAAGTTCACTAACAAATAGCATGCCTAAGTACCTGAATATATTCTTTAATTTTATGAATCAGCTGACTGCACATTTGAGGAAGCATTAATTCTTTATCTTGCAAATGAAAATTAATGGATTAAAAACTTATTTCTAAATATGACACATTAGATGGAAATATTTGAGAACTTTGGAGGTGAACTTGTTGCAGGTACACATCTACTTTAAAACTATTTAGTGTATTATACATCAACACTTGTGAGAATCAAGGAACAGATATTAATTAATAAAATGAACTCTTTTATTTTTTTTCTTTCCCTTTCTGTCTCTCCAGAGAAGTAGACCTCTACACAGGCTACACAACCAGAAATATCCTGTGCATGCCTATTGTAAGCCGAGGAAGCGTAATAGGTGTTGTGCAGATGGTGAACAAAATAAGTGGAAGTGCCTTCTCTAAAACTGATGAGAACAACTTTAAAATGTTTGCAGTCTTTTGTGCTTTAGCCTTACACTGTGCTAATGTAAGTTTTATTTAGAGTTTTGTAAGCTGTTGGTTATAATGGGAAGACTCAGAACCCTATTTAAGGATTTTAATGTTCCACATTATTAAAATTATTTAAAAGTCTTGTTTCATTGAATTAACGAGGAAACAAGAATAATTGAATTCTTTGATGAATAATTGCATTTTTAAAGGATGATAGAGATTCATTTGATGTTTTCTGGAATAATTGTACGCTGGATATGTCAATTTCCTGGAGCTAAACTGAGAGAGCAAGCTATGAAATGTGAATTATACCCGTATGTCATCCCTTTAACATTAGAAAGTATGATTCTTATTTCCTTTCATAAATTCAGATAATACGTTTTACAAATTTAACTGGGGGATGGAGATGTTATATAGTCTCTTGATTCCATGTGCTTACTATTCAAAGATATAAATTTATACATTTATATGCTGTGCTACATACTCATAATTATCCATGCTTCTAGGTAAGTGTGGATAGCTACTTTTGTTTTCAAACCCTTTATTCTCACAAATATTACTATTCCTGTAGGAAGCATAAGCAATTTAATGGTCATTAGAATAGAAATATAAAAATGCAATAAATGAAATAAAAATGCTATTCAGAAGAAATGTGTCATATTCATGGGAGGTAAGATACATTATACTGGGGTAGCAAATTTTACAAACAATTACTTAAACTTGTTCCAGATGACTCAAAGTGAGTAGAAAGGACTGCATATAAATGACTCCAGGGACTATACAATCACTCACTTGCGTATGAGTTCACTCTTTTTAGGTGGTAAATATTACCATTCAGGGCACAGTGCTCCAGAGGATTAGATTTACTAGTAAAATTGTTGTGTCCTCACTTGTTTACGAACTATCTTCAGTAGCTGTCCGAATCTCTTGATCATAAGTGTACTTATTTTTTTGCAGTTATTGTACAGTAATGAGTATGATAATCATCTCATGTATTTTTTACTGTGCATAGGTAGCAGTTATTTATACCAATAAATAGCTGAATTCATGCTATTGTGCATGAAATTGTGCCCTGTTACGAGTTTTCTTTCTGTTAGCATATTCTGGGGGTCTGTTCTCCCTTTCCAACACCAGCACCTTGATTCTTTTCCTTTTGGGAGCTCAGAGACAGTAAAAAAATCAGCTGAGCCCTAGGCATTTACCTGAGTGAGCAGGTAAAGAATTATGTAATAGAAGGCCCAATTTTCCAGTAGTACTCAATTTCATATAATCTGTTACTTTTCAAAGGTGTAAAATTGAACAGCCAGAAGCACTAACTTTTCTGCATATGTGTGTTTTAAGAATAAGTACTTGAATACATGAAAGAAATGTTTTTCCTTTATTAAAATTTTACATTAATGAACAACTTCCCTTTTCAGATGTACCACAGAATTCGCCATTCAGAGTGTATTTACCGTGTAACGATGGAGAAGCTATCCTACCACAGTGTTTGTACAGCAGAAGAGTGGCAAAACCTCATGCACTGTACACTGCCTCCACATATTTGTAAAGAAATTGAACTGTAAGTATCTTTCTCATATAGCGACAGTTGAATCTTTAAACAATCTGTGAAAAAAATGATTTTTTCTTTCTTCCCCTTAGTGTGTAGTGGAGGGTTTCTATAGGAAGAACTTATTATTGAACTATTAAAAAATAATAGGTGTTTAGCTTTCTTATACGTAATGACCTCTGAAGAAAATTTGTCTATCAAAGATGTCGAATAATACCTACTCAGAATGCTAGCATTTTTTCTCAGGCGTAGGTGGTTACAGTAATTGCTTTAAGCATTAGATTATATCTAAGGATTGCAGAGATAACCTTTCTTTCTGATAGTCTGAAACAGCTCAGAGTCAAAGAGGAGGCTGAGCTGGAACTTCAGTAGTTCAGAACAAATGCATGATCTCATCCTCTTGTATGTATTTTAGAATTAAAGATTCAGCTCCTTCCTGGGATTTTCTGGGTTGTGTGTTTTGGGTTTTACTTTGTTTTGGGGGTGGGTGAGTTTGGGTTGGTGTTTTTTTTGTTTGCTTGGTTCCTTTTTTTGGTATGTGTGTGTGTGTTGTGCATCTGCTTGTCTTTCTTGAAGGATCAGAAAATGGATACAGATCTCCAAACTTCTGAAAATAATTCAGGGGTACAAATCCAGGTGCTAGAATTTAGAGTTGTGGCCTAAATTTGGAGAAGGACTTCCCATCCAGCCTCCTAGGCTTTCCCTGGAATAATTCAGTTACCTCCAGCTCTCTAGGATCCGTTGCGTGCTGGAGATATACCTCTATCTGTATTTTGCCAGTACTCACTCAACCCTAATGCAGGGAGTCATCTTAGTATTTAGTCACTGTTTCTGGCCCAGGACAATATGTAGTGACCAGATACCTAAAACCAGAACTCTAAGATGCTGAGTCACAAAATCAAAGTTGTCTATGTAAACCTAATCTCCAGAGCTCGGTCACTCCTGTCAGGCACTGAGCATTGTAGCTGATGAGCAAAGGATGAAAATGTATGCTAAGAGGGACTGCTTGCAGTTAAAGTTCATTACATGCTGAAGTGATTTGCTAGAGCACCAGAGTATTAGCAGCTTGCAGGATTATACCCTAATAGAAGCTTATTCTGTGCAATACAATTTCTTGTGCTTTGTTAGATGATATTATGTAACCCACCTCCTCGGCAAAAAAAAATGACTTTTACTTGCAAAGATGACAGGTTTCATTCTAAATCATATTAACATCCTTTAGTTCAAGCAATCTGAATACATTTAACCATTTTCCAAGCAATTCAGCTACCTTCAGCTTTTCTTGCACCTGCTATGCTGTTGAGCATGCCATATACATGCAAGTGTTCAGCTAGGTTCAATGGAAAGTATATAGAGGAATTGCAGCACAGCAGGTGCAGGGAAAGGGATTAATTAATAATCGAAAGACAAACAGTTCTGCTAAGCTGGTCCCTAATATTAGGCCTAAATGCTGATATCGGGAGAGGGAAGAAGTCCTCAACTAATGAAACATATCAAATACAGGATTAAATGTTGATTTTTGAAGTTTGGGCTTAATTTCTGTTAGCTAGTGAAAGTTGTTTTTTTCCTCTGTCAAATTAGAGCGAGACTTGCCAAATGGGTGATAGAAATTATTTTTAAAAACCCCTCTTAAATATATTATTAGAGACCTCATCTTTACAATTCCTGGGAGGAAAGTCTGGAATCTTCTAGGAGTGCCTGTAAAGCTCTCATAATTTTTGTAGAATAAAGATCTTTGTACATTACTTAAGCAATGGATTCTTAAATAAAGATCTGTGTTTCTATTCATTAAAGCCAAAGGCTAACCATAGGCTAACAGTTGGACTTGATAATCTTAAGGGTCTTTTCCAACCTAAATGACGAAACTGTCGTGGTTCAAGCCCAGCCGTCAACTTGGAACCACGCAGCCGCTTGCTCACTCCCCCCCACCTCTTCCTTCCTCCCCCCGCTCCCGGAGGGATGGGAAGGAGAATCGGAGGAATGGAACTCCCACGGGCTGAGATAAGAGCAGTTCAGTAACTAAGGTATAATACAAATCACTACTGCTACCAATAATAATGATAAGGGAAATAACAAGGGGAGAGGACACAGCCGCTCACCACCCGCCGACCGATACCCAGCCCGACCCGAGCAGCGATCTGGGCCTTCCGGGTAACTCCCCCCAGTTTATATACTGGGCATGACGTGCTGTGGTATGGAATACCCCTTTGGCCAGTTTGGGTCAGGTGTCCTGTCTCTGCTTCCTCCCGGCTTCCCCTCCTCCCTGGCAGAGCATGAGACTGAGAAAGTCCTTGGTCGGAGTAAACATTACTGAGCAACAACTAAAAACATCGGTGTTATCAGCATTGTTCCCAGGCTGAAAGTCAAAAACACAGCACTGCACCAGCTACTAAGAAGGAGAAAAAATGACTGCTGTAGCTGAACCCAGGACAGTATCCACCCCTTATTCCATACCATTCACGTCATGCTCAGATCCCACATCCTTGATTCCATTGACCTTAGTGGAAATATATTGATATACTGAAAAATAACTTAATATTGCTGGAAAATGCAGCCTGTAAAGTCAGTTTTCTGTGTGCGTTCAGAAAGAAGTGGATGCTGTCGGATATACATTACCTGATCATTTTCACTTGCTTTTAGTAAGAATGAGAAAGTGTTTGTCTTTACTTTCTTCCTAGATACCACTTTGATATCAGTCCGTATGAGGACGTCTGGCCTGCCATTTTTGTCTACATGGTTCACCAGTCCTGTGGGACAGCCTGGTATGAAGTACCTGATTTATTGCTTTAATTCTGATATTTATGTGTTTGTTAGGAAATTTTGAGATAATTATTTTCTAATTCAAGGTCTTATTTTCTTTGGGGTTTCCTTAATGTGGCTGGTCTGTACAGGGCAGTAATAAGCAGGCTCCATTTCCAATATATAGAAGTATTGGTTGGTTCTGATATTGTTTCTCAGACAGAAGATGGTGAAGATATTAAAAGCAGTCTTGCCGAAAAGGAGAGAAGATCCATGAATACTGATTTTTCAAATACATAGTTGCTGAAATTAATGTATTACGTGGTTAAAATAGTCCAAGGTTAGACCTGCTCTTGCTAAATGAGTCAGTTATAGGTATCATTGGGCAGTAATTATGGAAATGAATGATTTTTCAAAAAAAATGTTTCATTTATTGTCCTTTCTGTCAGTGTCCGTTATCATTATTAAGGTCAGTAGTCTCCTGGCTAAGTATGTCCCATTGCTGAAAGAAAAGAGCTGCTCTGAATTACGGAAAAAATCTACAGATAGGCCATTGAAAGGGGAAATACCTCCCTGCAAAAAGGAGGAGCTTTTGGAAAACATTTGCTGGTGACTGTGTTTCTTAGTAACTGGATGAATCTCTAATGCCTTCAAAGCATACAGTCAAACTTGAGGGTCTTTCTCATGTCTTCTTCAACACTGCAAAATGAGTGACTCTTCTAAATACACTTCTCTACTGTTCAGTGTAGTTAGCTTGATTCCATTCCTAACTGAATGGCTGTGGATGCAGGATGAGGGTTCAGATATCCAGCTAAGTTCTGTTCTTCTCGTCTCAGTGTCTTTCTTTCAAGGTGTAACTTTGATGGGAATATTTACTTGACATTTTTCAAGTGAGCTTCAGTTTTTATATATAAAGAAACAAAAGTGAGGAAAATATTTGAAAAGGAGACTAATGTGACTGGACTTACATTTAATTTCTGAAAGAGCAAAACTTCTCAAACCCCTCAAACAAGTACAGCTATTTTAAGACTAAAATTTGCTTTGTAGCATATTGAGGAGTAGGGTTGTGCCTTTAAGCATCTATGTAATGTATAACTGTACTGTCCAGGGAGGATCTATGGTACTCGCTATATTTTCTTTGCTTTCATGAAGAAATAATCTTCTACTGCTTTAATCAAGCACAGAAAATACAGCAGTGGAGGAATTAATAGTATTGTATGTTGAGGTATCATTAATAAGGTACTATCCCATAGTAACCATAGTGCAGTTATTGGATATAAATGGAAGTGACTGTTGTGATATTCTGACTTATGATGTACTATTTTAAAAAGTTGTTCTAACAATTGTTCTAGAGCTGTCTGATTTAACTGTCTAGAATTAAAAAAGAAAGCCTAAGCTTTTTTGAAAGACTGTGCCTCTGTTTTTACTAATGTCAGACTAAGGCCAAGAAGAATGATTACCTTGCTCAGTACATAGCCATAGAAATACGGCTTTTTCTGTCTAACTGGCTCCATATAGTAGATGTGTTTACATTTTTACATACATGTCACTGACATTCAGCTTTGTTTTCTCAGCCCACATGTACTACAAAACTAGAACATTAATACCACTTCCCCGAGTTATCCAAGAAATTAAAACATAGAAGTTAAAAATAAAAAATGAAAAAGTCAAACCACAGTAACGGGATAAAAATAAGAATAAAGGAAAACTAATGCGTTTATGAGGGAATAAGTCAGTGACTTAAGACTCTGGCATCTTCAGTTCAGTTCTGGGCTCAAGTGTAATACTTCTTTTCACCCTGGGCTCCTCAGATTAGGTACTTAAGAGAATTTTACCTGATATCTAATCTGTGTCCAAATTTCCTATCTGTAAACAAAAAGTATTCAGCTTTTCATTTCAATGGAATGAAATGATAAAGTCTATTGGAGATTGTGCAGAGCTCTGGAACTACTATGAACTGTCTCAGAGGTGGTTTTGATGAGCATATAAACCAAACAACAATTGCTTTATTACTGGTTTTGATTATCACCTCAGTGAAAATACTCTTGATCATGGATTAATTTTGCTTTTCTATATTAATAGCAAAAATACATATGAAAAATCTTTAGGAAATAATCCCATAAATGCTATAGATTTGAGGAATCTTCATGGTCGACTGGCAATTACTTAATGAAATCCTGTTTGGTGAAAACTGAAGAAACAGTAAAATGTGAATTTCTGTTGGCCAGACTGAAAAAAATATCTTAGTCCTGGGAAAAGCAAAATCTTCTTTTCATTATGTCAGTATGGAGCATCTCAACTTCTTTCATTCAAAACAAGTTAGGCATTTGGTATTTGACTAAAATTTTAATTTAAACAGGATTTTTTTTTCTGTGTCATTTGCTTAAAAACTTTAGTTTTCTGTTTTGATCACAAATGCTGCTTGAAAATTGTCCAGTAGAGTTTCACAGTTTGGCAGGTGGAATAGATAACTATTTAAAGAAACCACACTTCACGTTTCTGGGAGCAGGGAGAGTTATACAATTGTGTTGCCTGAGCTGGGTAGCTTGACGTATATTCCAGAACTTTGCATGTTAAACTAAGAGCATTGTCACGTATCCACACTCCTCTGTCCTTGCCAAAACTTGAATGACTCTTGAAATCAATGAGTCATCCACAGTGAGAGTCAATCCTAGCAAGAAGAGTAAATGAAAGAGCGTCTTTTCTCCTCTGTTGGTTCTACTTCCCATTGTTGTTTCTTGTCTCTGAACAAATTAATTTCTTTCTAGCTTTGAACTTGAAAAACTATGCCGATTTACTATGTCTGTAAAGAAGAATTATCGCCGTGTGCCCTACCACAACTGGAAACATGCGGTTACTGTTGCACATTGCATGTATGCCATACTTCAGAACAACCAGGGGCTTTTCACTGATCTAGAGGTAGGTGAAATCACTGTATCAGTTACTAGACCTCATCAGAGGTATCATCCATCATAGAAGTACATTTTCTATGCTAGAGTTTTGCTGTCAGCTTAGGCAGAGTGTATATAAAGGTCCCTGCAGAGGAACAGGTGCAAGTAGAAAGCTTGAGGAAGACAAATTACTCAGATTCCTAATCCTAGTGTTTCCATCACGTTTTTAAGTCTGCTTAAGACTTAGAATAATTAAAAGGTAATATACACTATGAAGCACTGTCACTTGCTTTTTTGTTTTTTTAATTATGGTAGGTGCAACTGGGAATGGTGTCTGTTACTGATACTACCTGAAACTTCTGACTGGGAGAACCTGTTTTCAGTTGCGTATAGCTTTGCCAAATACTAGCCATGTGGGCTGTAATTTTCCAAGCTGCTTAACTTCCTCAAGCTGATTCATTTCTATGATTCTAAGTTTGAAAAGTCTGCATTCCTTTAACAACAAAAATCTGAGGATTTCGGCCTCAGGGCTCTGATAACATTCAGTACTAATCAAGTAATAAGCACCATCTTTTTGGAGATGCAGAATAAGCAAGATAAGGAGAGCAAAAGACGGCAGCTTTTAAGAGAGATGGAAACAGTTGTTATTCCCTGCTAAACTGCCAGCCTTTACTTGTTTGAATGCCTTATCCCAGTCGATGCTCCAGCTCTTTCTAGCAGTCTCCTTTCCTGAGGCTGGAGATTAATCCAACAATAATACAGGAAACTGCTGAAGGAAAGTTTGGAGAACTAAGATGGGCTGGTCTCAGGTGAGGGATGATGACATGACCCTCCAAAGACATAGAGGTGAGAAAAGAAGAATGAAACACTGTTAAAGGGAATGATTTAGAGGCAAGTGGATCCAGCAGTTGGCACTGGTCAAAGAGTTCAGATCCAAGCTCTGACAATAGGTACAAGGTCAAGAGCACTGGTATTAGGCATTTTATAATCCTGAGGGGCTGAGACAAGAATGACTTCCTGGGAAGTGGAGACTGGGACAACAATGACTTCCTGGCAAGGGGAGACTGGGACAAGCTAGACAGAGAGAACCATCTGGTACAATGGTGAGGATGGTAAGACTGGAAAAAACACAAGTGGCAACGGATGCAACAGGAGAATTAAACTTGTGGGAGAGGACAGAAAAGCTTAATACCCATTAAATCTAACATGTAGCTCAAAGGGTTCTTGAGACTTTTGCTGTCAGAGACTGTTTTTCAAGTCTGTTGATTCCATGTCTTGCCCCTTCTCGTTGTAGTGAAAAGGGGATACCACCTTCCTACAGCTGGTACTGCATGACTTCTAGTAGCACAGGTGTATTGTGTACCTAAGGGTTTCACTTCTGCTGAGGATCTGTGTTGACTGCTGCATCATTTTTTGTACGTGCTTTTTAAAAATGCACTTCACTAGATGTAATATTGAAAAGACATCATTAAGAATTAAAGTGAAGGATTTAAAATAAGAATCAAAGTCTCAAACCCAGAAATACAATTAGGGTTGCTATAGGCTTAGTTCTGCATGTTGCATATTTGTGATAAAATCTTTAGTTACATTGTTTGCTATTTTTCCACAGAATCATGTGCCTCTTAGTTCACAGGTTGGATGTTGCTCACTTAATAGGTAGTTAATTGATATTCTTTTCCTGCTTCATTTTATAGCCTTATCTGTGTCATCAGATCCAGCTATAAGACAGAACTGTTAAGTCTATAAAGACATTTTTGTGATACACCATGCTGACAGTGACTGCTTCACGAACAATGAGTATGTTTTCAAAACACACCTGCTCTATGAAAACCTTTTGCAAGTGTTCATGTATTTTGCGTGTTTAAAGAGAGACTTCAGGGACTCCATTTCTTCAGGATATTAGGACTTAATTAAAAAAAAGTTACCATCTTACTTTGCAGTTGCCATTGCCCAGCATTTCTGTGGCTAACATTAGTGACTTCTTAGGAAAAGTTTCATGTACAAGACTTGTTCATAGTCTTTGGGGAGTGTTGCAGGGACACATCTAGCATTGGACTTCGGTGCAGCTGCCTTGACCAGAAGATCATACATCTTACGTATTTCCTCTCCTTCAATAGCTGCGCTTTAATTTTTTTTAATACAGTTGGTAAGGATTCAGTGGATGACCAGAAGTTCTGTTTAAAGCTCAGATTTCTTCCGGAAGCAGAATCCCTCTGACTGCATGTGGCTGTCAACAGTGTTTTTAAAATTCCTAATATATGAAAGATTTGAATTACAGTTGGACCAAGAATTTTAATTCAGCATGTCCTCACTTTTGTGCTTCTGACAATTTTAAGGAAGTTTCTCCATGTGCTTCTTGAAGGCAGTGTAAGCAGTGCAACTTTTACAGTATTTTGGGAAGAGAGTGACATCTAGGGGCAGGAAATATAGCTTACTTGTTCATCTCAAATTTTTTTGTAGCGAAAAGGTCTTTTAGTTGCATGCCTGTGTCATGACCTGGATCACAGAGGTTACAGCAACAGCTATCTTCAGAAATTTGATCACCCCTTAGCTGCTCTCTATTCCACGTCAACAATGGAACAGCACCACTTCTCGCAGACTGTGTCCATCTTGCAGGTAGGATTATTGAAATTGTATCTTCTGTGCAGTGGTGGAAATAGGAGTCATGTCATTACCCAGTAGATTTTTTTGAAGCATGTTAATTTAATTTCTGGATTGTAGTGCTCGTTTAGAAGAGTGGAAGATTTATTACAGCAAGCCAGGTTCCACAATGAGCAATCCAAGGATTCAGTAATAGTGCAAAACAGTGTCCCGGGTTCAGCTGTAACAGTTATTTTTCTCCTTCTTAGTAGCTGGTGCAGTGCTGGTTTTGAGTTACCAGCTGGGCTTAAACCACAACACATAGCTTTCCCAAAATCTTGATGTTATTTAAAAAAAAAAATAAATAATTTGAAGGTATTTGTTTCTGGCCTGCCTTTGGAGCTTTTAGCTTCTGGGTCACTGGGGTTTTTTCCTATGACCATGTGGAATAGGAACTTTGAAAATGAAAAATCAGTTTCTCACTTACTTAGATACTTTCAGCACTAAGTGCTTCAACAAAGTCTTCAACCGTCCTGAAATTCTGAATGAAAGCTCAAGTACTAGCAAAAGTTTGCATGAGCAGCTTGAAAACCTGCTGTAATAAATTCCATGAACATTAAATGTCTGGCATGAAGGAGGGAACGTTAATTTTGCATGCATGGAAAGTTTAAACTTATTTCATTATGTTATCATTTGTTTTTTTGTTATTAAGCAGTTCAGCTGAATAAGGTAATACTGTATGAAAGAGAATTCCTAATATGAGGTAATGTGTCTGTATGTTTAATGGAAAGAAAACTACAAGAAAGAATGCAGGCACATCTTGGGAAATCCAAGTGTGCTACCAACACAGATATTTTCTCATCAGTGAAGATTGCTTTCATGCTCCATTAGAAGAGTGACAACTCTCACCTATGAAACCACTACCACTCCATAACGTACTTGTGCTCACTGGTTTTAGTTTACCATGCACATACTCAGTGCACAGCCTTACCATGCTAGTGTGCCACTAATTTGTTGTTAACTTTTCTTTTTTTCTGGTCTTTCAGGGGGAAGATATTTATTAACTTAAATACCTAATCACCTTTTAGGAAAAATACATATTCTGTATTGTATTCAGAAGCACATCTTGTGATTATGGTTTTAGGTATCATGTACATTTCTCATCACAGAATGGAAGCTTTATCTCTGTATGCTCCTTCATGTAGGAGGGTGTAATTGAATCCTTCAGTGGTGGTATGGCATTAGATTTTTCGTATTCATTCTTCATGTGAGTTTGTGCACAGTGAGCAAGTTTCTCAGTCGTTAACACTTCCCTGTCCCACTGTGGCTTCACGAAACAGACCTCAGTCGTTTTCCAAAAACCATTTTGCATTTTTCCTGCAGAAATATTGTAACCAGTGAAAGTCCTATTTGCCAAGACAGCAGGGAAGCCTTTTGCTTTCCTGCTACCTCTAGCCTTGGCCATCAGTGTGAGTGAGGAAGGAGATATAGGTGGTCAGGGCTGTAGAGTGGATTCACATGCTGGCTACCCAAGTGGTCTGTTACGGTGGTTAGTAACCTACAGTACTTTTCACTGCTTGAAACCTTGTAGCTGCTTTGCTCATCCACCTGCTGTTCTAGTGTACACCATACTTACAAATACAGAAGATTCTATTCACTATCTTTAACTCAGCAGGGAAAGAATAAAATTTTAGCAGCTGTACTTTGTACGTAGTACTCAAAAGCCTAAGTGATGTGCTCAGAAATGTCAGCTTCTGTCAGTACCTAACAGAATGTATGTTAAGTATGAACAGAAGCTGTCACAGTGATCTTTTTGATAGTGAAGCTTCTAAAGCCTAAAGAATTGAATCTAGAATAATTATTTAAATATTAGGAAAAATAGTCTGTTCTTGTGGATTAGGTGGCATGGTTGGGAAGGAAAAGCTTCCCAAAACCCTATGAAAACTCGTATTAGTCATTTTCTGCTCCCAAAACATTGATGATGGGTTAAAATGTTCTGAATTTGTTTTTTAAACATCATGTTCTGTGACTTTGAGTCCGTCAAAGGAGCACTGAGACACAGAGGGATTGTATTTTCTATTCATTATTCACAATAAATCTACTAGTCCAAGTAAAAGTGTTGGAAAATGACATTCATGTTCCGGATGGTAAGAGAAACCAAGCCTGTTTGTACCATGGAGGATTTATTTTGAACAAATTATGTAAATGCTTCACAAAATCAGGGAAACTTTTTTATGAGCTTCAGCCCAAATGCCAATTAAATGTCAAAACACATCTGCATTTGATGTATTTTAATAATATTTTCTATTTGCGAATGTGCACACCTTAATATGGCTGGCTCATTCTTTTTTGGTTTTCTCTGTTTCCTCTCAAGTAGGAATACTTTTGACAGATTGTTTTCCAAATCTTAGAGACAGCGAATAGTGTTGACTTTTCAAAATGTGATACGGCTTCGTGAGTGATCACAGTACATGGATATTGTCAGTTAAATGTGCAATAATACATAGTGGAAGTGGAAAAGGGATGACAGTGGCATGTTGCCAGAGTAGTGGAAACCATTGTCTTCAGTTTATGAGTCAGTCAGCTCATGGTTGAACAAAGCAGCTTTTTCCCCTAAATGTTCATATACATTAAAATACTGTAATTAACTTTATTTCTATAGAGAAAATTGTATCAGTAAATGTAGCAATTTCAGGCACATTTCATTTGGAACACGATGAAAACAAAATTATTTTGGTACTATAACTTGGATATTTCCTCATCCGTATTATGTGTTATGCAGTATTGAAATTGTACTTCAGAGTGAATCAGACAGTTTATCAACTTGGCAGTGCAGCAGTACTCTGGATCAGGATTGAATCACAAGTTCCCAAGCTAATACTGTCTAGAAGTGCTGCGTCTGTAGTGCTTATAAGTCAGAGAAGAAAAAGCTAGTGTTTTTCTCTATTAATACCTTTAGGCTTCAGAAGGAGCAGTCCAAATCCAAATCAGTGGCTTAGTCATAAGTTCCATAACAGTATTTAAAAAGGAAAGATAAAAATGGGAATTTCAGGCTGTCAGCATTTGAATTTACAACAGAAATTGTCATTGGGCTGTAAAGCCATTGTAACCTGTCTGTAAAGACTGAAATCATCTCAGAATTAGAGCTTGTGCTTTTTATTGTGTTTTTACTTTTTCATAGCTGGAAGGGCACAATGTCTTCTCCAATCTGAGCTCCAGTGAATATGAGCAAGTACTTGAGATCATCAGGAAAGCCATCATCGCCACAGACCTTGCCCTGTATTTTGGAAATAGAAAACAGCTTGAAGAGCTGCATCAGACAGGAGCATTAAACCTTAAGAACCAAGCACACAGGTAAAGCAGCAAACCAGTATTAGATCACTATGGCATTAGAAAGAAAAAAACAAAACAAACAAAAAACCAAAAACGAACAAATAACCCCACGTACACAGCAATTTCTTAAATATCACAACTGTGTGTAAAATTCCAAGTACATAACAGTGTTTTCCATTGTTTTATATTTGCAGATCACTGCCTTTGACTGTCATCCACACAGTTCAGTGACAGATTGTCTGCAGAGGAAAGTTAGTGGACAGGCAGTTAGGTGGTGGGGAAAAACATATAGTGCAGTAATACTTAGATTTATTTTTATGCCAATATTTTTGTTATTCTGTCAGTGTGCTTTTTTTGGAAAGAATTCTGCTCAGATCTCAATCTTTGTGAATTTAAGATAGCTCTAAGTTTTAAAAATGTACAAGTGCATCTTCATAAATATATGACTGTCCACATAAGCAAACCATAGTGCATCCTGGACAAGTGATGTGTGTCATAACAGACTTCATTAAAGTGCTCATGCAGCCCTTCAGAGCTTCATTCTTCTGGAAAGTGGATCCTGTCATTAATCTAATGCAGGGGAAAATTAGGCAAAATAATGAGTCATGATTCTGATTTCTTTTCAAAAGGAACTTTGGTACTTGGGTCTTCTTTCTGAGGAGGTTTACATGATTTTGCCACTAGTTTTGAGTAAATCGTTACAACACTGTAGGAAGGATGTTTTTTAAATGCTTATTTCCCAGTAGGGAACTGAAGCGTATCAGAATTGAGTAAACCTCAGCATCTTTAAAAGATGAAGATATTAGTAGCTCCTGATAATGAAATGTACCGGAAATTTTAAATTTAAGGTTTATAAAATTGAAATAGCATGACGCTAATTAGGATGTGATTGAATATTCTATTATGTTTATATTTTTTTTAATCTTACCTGTGCTCAGAGCATTTTCATTGCAAAGCCAACATGCCCAAAGACAGGACATCAGTTGGTAATGTGACTAAAGAATCCAGGACTTCTGTTTGGTATCTATACATGCAATGGAATGCTAAATTTGGACCTTATGTGGCTGATCAATTATCTTTCTTAGGGAATAATAGCACTTCGGCATTTATCTATCAATTATTCTCATAATGATTATAATCCTATTGATAATGTTCACTTATTCTGTGAACAGGTTTGTCAGTGTACAGAACGGAGTTGTTCTGTCAGGGTTGGAATTTATTCCAACAAAACAACGACAGAGTATCCTGAGATAGACTCAGAAGCAGTTTTTCCTCTTGTTTGGAGCATGGGTTCCTTTCTCTGTAAAGTACAGAAAGAAATGCAGCAGCAGGAAATGCCATCTTTCTTTTTATAGACTTGTACTGTATTTTCAGAAATTAAGGAGAGGCACGTGAGAGTTTTAAGAGACAGTCATTCTTGTGTACTTTTCTATGAATGTGATCGTGCATACGATGGTCAATGAACTCAGGCTGCAAACAGTGCAGGGATACTGCAGGGAACATAATATGCAGTTTGTGTGATGCCTTATCAATGAATCATTAGCAAGTGACGAAGAAACAGGCAAGGTGGGAGAAATTTTGCAGTATGTATACTTCTGATTGAACTTAGGAAGGGCAAACGAAAGCTTTGCAGAGTGATCATTAATTCCTTACCAAACTTACTATTTAATCTTTGTTTTATTTTAGAGATAGAGTGATTGGTCTGATGATGACGGCTTGTGATTTATGTTCTGTAACAAAGTTATGGCCAGTTACCAGGCTGACGGCCAATGATATATATGCGGAGTTCTGGGCTGAGGTATGTGTGTTTCTTTTGTTTACTCTCTTTATAAATGGAAGTATCCAGGAAGAAAAAAACAACAATAAGTATTTGTCAATCAATATCTTTGTGTGCTTTTTTTAAGGAGTGTTCGTTGGTGCATGCATGTGTTTTGTTGCTTCCTCTAAAACTATTTAACTTCGTAATGTTAGGCAGCATTTTTTCTCTCCATTGAAGATGGATTTAGAAAGTAAGTCCTAACATAAAGTGACCAAGCAAGAGAACACAGAATAAAATCTTCAAGACTTTTTGAGTTACTAACAGTAGTTTTGTAAAGGATCTCTTTGTATTATAGAAATACAAAATATGAAAGCAGCTTCCAGGTCAGCTGCTTTGAAACACACTTGTAAAGCTGTTATGAGGCCGGGAAATGCTAAAGCAAATATGACAAACTTTAAAACTGTTCTGACCATTTTGAGCCAGCTCAACAGCTGGGTTTGAGAGAGAGCTGATTTTTTAGTATGTTGAAAGTTACTCCTTTGATAAGATATACTGAGAATTGAAACAAAGCATTGAGTTGTGGTAATGTAATCACGTTCACAAATAAAGATGTAATCTTTCATGTGTCTTACACTGAGGAGTAAATGTTCTAATTGTTTAATTTTTGAGGTGGAAGTGACTACTTTGGGGAAGAGGAATAAATTGTGAGGGTGTCGCATAGACTCGAATTATGCAGTTTTAGAAGATACACTGTATTTTTTGAGCTGCTATTGCACATGTGTATGATGAAATATTGTTCTTTTCTGTTATGTCCCTGGTGGAAGTCTGCAGAATTCAGTGGGCTTATTTCTGTTTTGCACAGGTGTAAAATGGAAATCAGGCCCACAGAGTTGGATGTAGCATGCTTATAGCATGGAGATTGTTGTCCTGTAAATCAATGTTGCATGTTCATTATGAAATTCAAGGTGTGCATGGCTTGTGGGTGTTTTTTGGTGAATATTCACACGTTCTCATTAATTTCGAACAGCTTCAACAACAATAAAATGCTTGAAAAATGCAGACTGTATAAGCTCAGAGATCTAGTTTCAGTATTTACTTTCTAAAATGTCAGCACTGGAAAGTGAGTGTTCTTATGAGCGATAAAAATGGAGGTACAATGCTGATGTGCCTCACTAATTTACATGCTCAACTTTTTTGCTTACAAATAAAAAAGACTTTTTAACGCAAATCTTATGAAATGAGTGGAGAAGGAATGATCAAACTGATTTTTCCTAATCAACAATTGAAAAGGTGGAATTATGGGTGTAATTGAGCCTGCCCATACTTTAACCTGTTTTGTAATCCAAGGATGAATTAGTAAAAGTGGATCTTGTTATATTGCTACTTCATGGAGCAAATGTAAATTAGAAGTTATTGACAGAAATTGAATTGTGTCATTGGTGTTTTACCGAATCTTGTTTAAGAAGAGGTTGATTGACATATGGTAAAAATTTGATACGTTGTGATCCACTCAGGATGGCTGCCAAATCCAGCCACAGGTCTAAATGCTTCTGGAAATTGGAAAGCTGTAGACAGATACAGAGAAGATCCTGGGAAAGCTAAACCAAAAGGAAGTTTAGATTGTGTTTCACTGTAGATACTGGGGAAAAAAGGTAAACTCTAGAAAAGTATACTTGACTAGATTAAATGGTTTCTTCAGTTCAAAAGTAGGATAGAAAGTTGCTTCTAATTACTACATGAGTTCATAATCTTAATATCAGAGTGGTTTTATACTCTTTCTTCTTTGTGAAATCATTAACTAAAACAATAATTGCAGAAAAGATTGCAGCAGTTTTGTGGTATGTCACACTGATCTTTTTTAGTTGAACAAAGACCAGTATAGCTAGTATTTTCAGCTAAGATCTGCCTGGATATCAGTCAGCATGAAGCTTTCCCACAGTGCTGCAACTCAAGCAGAATAATACATTTGCTGATCTATTATGTAGGATTACAAGCTTGTATAAGATTTAACTGCTGTGATTTGGGTTTTTTGGTGAGATATGACACACTAGGCAGTTGTTAAACAGTACTATTCTAAGAGACTTACAAGCCACTTACAGCCATACTGCAAGTATGATACAAACTGCTTAAAACTTCAACTTTAACTTTCTGATCATGATCATAACTTTAAGGATAAAGCAGTATATTTTATAACCATGTGTTTGTGGATACTGAGCACACTTGTGTTTTTAATGCATGTTCCATCGAAACGTAATACTTTTTTACTGCAAGGGTGGGTGGCACAGATTACCCAGAGAGGTTGTGGAGTCTCCCATCATTGGAGATACTTAAAACCTGACTGGACACAGCCCTGGATCACCTGTTTTAGTTGATCCTTCTGGGAAAGGTGTGTGGGATGGATTGGATGATCTCAAGGGGTCCCTTCCAGCCCAAACCATTATGTGATTCTGTGATACCTTTTACTTCCAAAGTGAAATGGTGAACGTAAGTTTGAACTTTGTTCAGTTCTGGCATAATCAGGCAGAGGCTGAACAGCTTCCTCAAAGTTCTGGCTTCAAGTGCTTCTCAGGCACTTGATACTATGTTAATCAGTGAGCTTAAAGTCATACAGTGCTAAATGGTTTAGTGTTGAGGTTCTTACCATTGAAACAATGGTAGCTGCAGACAGTATTGGACCAATCAATTGCAGTACTTCACGTAAATGGAAAAAAAAAAAAATTACTGGGTGCACATAAAACCAGAATTTGCCTATGTTTCTAAATACCAATCAACTGAATTTCTCTGCTTGGAGTTGTTCCAGGCATCCTTTTTTATCAGCTGAGGAACGAGGCCTTTCCTGTTGTTTCTTGCAATGGTAAAATGTGTGACAGACTAGATTCAGTGATTCTAGCCTCTCTAACTAGGTGAAAGAAATATGTGATGTGAGAGAATAGTACAGATACCAATTCAAAAATGGCATCCGGATTACATCTCTTGTTGGTTAATTGAGGAGGATCATAGTTACAGGTGATGTTGAGGCAAGTATACAAGAGTAAATTGACTTCCAAAAGCCTCCGTATTTTCTACACTCAGGGTAGCTGTAAGGCAGTCAAACAGAAAGACGCTTTGCTTTGACCAGAATCAATTTATTATATTGTAAACTTCTCTTTCAGTAGAGGAGCCAGAATTCTACCTTGGAAGAGCATGTTGGCACTTGAAGCGTGGCCTGATAAAAATCTTATGAGAAAGATGTATTAAGCTGTCTTCCAGAGATGCCTTCACTAACTGTAGCAGAAACAGAGAACGTGGATTTAGGGAACATCCCAAGCTTTCAGATAGCTAAACCTCTGTAATCTGAATCTCACATTAAAGGACACAGATAAGCAAATACTGTATAAGCAGTTATCCTGTATAAACTTTCTCCCTAACTAAGCCTCATTACCCAATAACCAAAACCCACCATGCAACCCCAGTACATAAGGTCAGCAGTTTGAAGATCACATTGACTTTGGAATCTCAGATATGAGCAGTATGCAAAAGCAACCATGGCTATGACTGTAGTTGCCTTGATAACCTCAAGATCAAACATCAGTGTTGTTCTGGCGATGCCGTTGAGGCATAAGACTTGGAAAACTTCTAATTGTTAAAGAAAGTAGCCAGCTACTTACAGATTTTTAAGAAGTAATTGTGTGCAGACCCAGCATAGTGTTCAGAAATGTGTTGTAGCTGCTCTGCTGGTGATGGGTGAAACATAAGGAGACACTTCTCTCCTGTTCATTACAGGTATCTTGTCTTTGGATATACTGTGTCTTTCCCAGTATTCCTTTTATAAATGTAGAGGGATAATGTACTTAAAGAAAAGAAGGCATTTTGACAGGCAGCTTCTTCAAAGCAGCATGGTCAGAAAGGCTGGTTTGTTGACAAAGAGGGCATACTGTAAATTTCTCTGTTTTAATCAGCTTTTCCTTGGATGGGTGAGTTGTGTTCTACTGGTCATTGTATTATAATGCTTTAAGCAACTGATGTTTTGAAAGATGAGACTAGCTGTGAATAGGACAGAACAGAATAGAATGAACTGATTTCTTTGATTTTATTCTTCCAGTTGCTTTTTATTATGGAGACGCTCTTGGAAACAAAATATGTGTACATTGACTTAAAATCTTCATTTTCAGAATCTGCTAATTACATTATTGTTTAGGTGAATGTATAAAATGAGCCCCTCCTTAGGCAGTTTTCTGACATTGCCTTAGACTGGTACCATGCATTATTTTAAATTCTGGATTTTTAGAGTGACATACAATAGACAATGGAAATTAATTCAGATCTCAGTAGTTTTGACTTTCATTTTGCTAATCTCTTTCTCTCTGCTTTTCTCCAGGGTGATGAAATGAAGAAAACGGGTATTCAACCTATTCCTATGATGGACAGAGACAAGAAAGATGAAGTCCCTCAGGGTCAGGTAGGAACTCTCTCAGTAAAATGATACGTGTTTGTAGTGTTAATAAAACATTTATGGAAAAAACATATATTGGTGAATATTGGAAAGAAATAACATATTTGATGATAGGTTATGTGGGCTGCTGAATTCTGTGTGCCCAACAAGGTTGAGTTTTTTAAGCAGCAGTGGAAAACTTGTTTTCAAATGTTTACATAAATGACAATGTGCTTTTTGCTATTGTCACTTGTTCCATTCTTTGTACTTCTAACTCTAGCTAAAACCACAATCACTTACGACTTTGAGAAGTGTCAGGAACACGTTTTCAACTTAGTAAGCGGTTGCTTCAGCCCTTAGCCTGAGAGGTTTTGCTATTTTATCCTGAATGCAAAATTAACTTTGTCACCTGTTCCTGGTTGAAATATTGAGGTTCAGATTTCAAAAGAATAATGTGGAGAGTTTCTTGAGGATAAGCAATAAAGGGTGTATTACTAAGAGCCTCGATTGTCTGTTTTTCAAAATCTTTGGATACTGATGTTCCTGTGCAGAAATAGTAGAATCAGCTAGGTTGGAAAAGACCTTTAAGATCATCAAGTCCAACCTTTACCCCAGCATGACTGCTTTTTTTATGTTTTCTCTAGGGAAAATTTGCATTTTGTAAACATAAATTTGAGGAGAAAAAAGGGTCTTTAACTTTTTGTAGTAAATGAAAAAGGTAGCTTGTCCTTTGATTATCTGAGCAGAGAAAAAGAAATCTAATTTGTCCATTGCCCATTCATATCCATATATATGTATAAGTTTGTTTTTTTATTTTAGAGACTTCTGATGCTTTGTCAGTAGTTAGCACTCACGAAACAATACTGTTTAAAATAGAAATTGCAAAGTGTCACAGAATCACTGTAGATTAATTGCTTGGTAAGTTATTCCACAGCAAGACTACAGAAATTTTTATATTCTGAAACTTTACTTCATATGCTCTACCATATTTTAGCATAAAAACTGCTAACCTTATTATAGTAAGGAATTTGCAGTTTGTATAAGCCTAAAAAGAGAAGAAACATTTTTCTCCATTTGATTTATTTTTCCACACACTATATTAGTTACATTTGAATTTTTTGAAAAGTACAAAATGTTATAATATATAGTAACCTTAGCATTTGTAAAAGAATTGTTAATGGGGTGAAAGTACAGATCTAGGACATAAGATTATTTTTTTTTCCTCTTTAAAACACGGTAACTATTGTTCCAGGTACTGTCTTCATCAGTTTCTATTTTACTTTGTGCTCTATTTCATGATCCTTAATAGTATAACAGTAAAATATTAAGGAAAATAGGATGTTAAAAGCGAACTTCAGTAGTATAGTTGTAGCTGCTGTATCTTACAACAACATTATGGGAAAATGTGAGATTGAGACATCTATAATTCTGTGAAAGTAACCATTCCTGTGTTTATGTAGAGACTGAAGAATTTAATAAAGCATTATCATCCATTTCCTTGGGCTCTAACAAAAATGATTAATGAGTATTTTTGTGAAACAATTAATTTCAGAAGGAAAAGATGTTTTCCTCGTTCCTCTTGCTTATGCATCTTTAGGATAAGCGTACATTGCCTTTTTTGCAGTGACTTCAATAGTTTGCTCATACCTGAGTGAACTCTAGGCTTTCTGTCTAGCCACATCAACGTAAAGATCAAGATGGAATAATTTATTCAGATAATCCAAACCTTTTACAAAAGTCATCTGTGTGAGTTTGCTCTGGTCAAAAACGGAAACTCTTGCAAAGGGATGTTTTTAATTACCTTAGCTTTATTCAGAACCTAAATCCATTGAGACTTTTGGGGGTCTTCCTCTGCAGTTGATGTCCATTTTAACTTAAAAGTTTTCAGGACCTTAGAAGACACATTTTATTCTAAGTGCCAGGGTTCCAGAGGGAATGTGGTTTAGAATACACTGCTGATTAACTTAGTTTGGTTTAAATAAAAACAAAACAAAACACACAAGAAAAAAACACATAGGGAGAGAACAATGCACTATGTGAAACAGGAAACTTTTTGTTGATGAGCAGACATCATAGCTGTGTGCAGCCTTGCCTTCACACCAGCTGCAGCTTCTTTCTATTGGCTACGTCATAATTACTTCAGGCTATTGGGTTCTTAGTCAGAAAATATATCTTCTTTTTTAAAGTATAGAATGGACTTGGTTACATAGCAGTATGGGAGGAACTTCTGTATTCAGGGTGATGAGGACAAGAGTTGCTCTTCAATTTCTGAAAAAGAGACTTCTTATCAAATGCTTTAGTCACAGTACACTACGTGATATTTCACTAAAAAGCATTTAAAAACTCTGCCCAAAGAAAGGGATCATACTGCACTACTGTAACTATCATAAGAATCTGGGATAAGTAAGTGATGTTGTAATGGATTTGTATTTGATCTGTCATCTTTGCTAATACCTAAGTAGCATTTTCTAAAAATTGCCTCGTGTCATGACAAATCAGCTATGACATGGTAGCTGTCATAAGCCCCTAAGCCTGTATGAATCAGATTTAATTAAAAAGGTGCTCATTTGATGTTATCTAAATAGATTTATTTGATAATGGTAAAAATATATCACTGAACCGCATACATGAAAAGAAATTGCAAACCAATTACTGGTCACAGCTCATACCATTTAGAAACTTTCCAACAGTGGAAAGCCCCTCGCATCTCAAGTAAATTGTGCTATCGAATACATACTGTGGAGAACATCAGAGTAATCCAGAATCTGACCATAATTGGGTAATGCCACATAACTTTTCTTAAAAATAAAAAGTCATCACAAGAGTAATGTTGGTGCAAATGGCAGAGCCATTTCTGCCTATTTCCTACCACTTCTGACACCAAAAAGCTGGACTGGTCCTGAGCACATTAATTGATTCAATCAAATATTAAAAGATCCCGTAGAAAATCTGTTCCGAAGCAGCCATATTAATCGTAGAATCATAGAATGGTTTGGGTTGGAAGGAACCTTAAAGATCATCTGGTTCCAACCCTGCTGCCATCGGCAAGGTCACTTTCCACTAGACCAGGTTGCTCAAAGCCCTGTCCAGCTGGGTTATGTGGACTTGAAATCTTTCCACGCAGCAAAAGCCCCCCTGTACTCCATGATCCCTTGCTCTGCTGTCAGGCCAGCTCCAGAGCTCATCACCTCATTGAGTGATAGAAGTTATAAGAGAGGCATATAAGCAACTTGGAATTGCCAAAGACTTCACTGTTAGTGTTTAATTTTAAAATATGCTGATATTTGGATGCAAAAGTATGAAGTACTAACAGAAGTAGTAATTAAGTAAGTAGTCAACAGCTTTGAGGTATCTGGCTGTTAATTTTCAGTGTCGTAATTTGGCAATATTTAACTATTTTTTTTTCATTGTTGTTTTTCATAGATTGGGTTCTACAATGCAGTAGCTATCCCATGTTACACCACACTTGCACAGATTTTTCCTCCAACCGGGCCACTACTGCGAGCATGCAGGTGAGTAAATGTGCAAGTTTTTGCATAGTGTGTAGCTCAGTTAAAGAAAAAGCAAACATGCTTTGCAAGTTTGACTGAAAATACAGACTTCTAATTTTAGAATTTGCATGCAGATAACAGGGATATGCATCTTGCATTAATGTATGCAGAAACTCAGAGGCAGTTACTACCAGCTGGGATTATCGAATGCAGATCTGTAGACACAGCTGATTAAAATGTGGTTTATGCCGAAAGCATTTAGAGAGAAAGAGGTTCAGTACTTACGTAACCCGTCTAGGCTGGTTCAGTGGAACTTCCCTCTGTGTCCTTTTTACTTCAGTGTGGTTCTCACAACTGAGATTGGCTAGAATTCTGTTTCATTTAAGAAAATGTGGTTTTGGCATGTCAGAACATTTTTACTAAAAAGCAGGAAAAGAAAGAACCCCAGAATATTGAGTAATTGGGAGCATAAGGGTAGTACCACTGTCATGTGAGAGAGACAAGCATAACTTTGTCCTATCAGTCAGCTGGGATGTAGCTTGAAGCCTTCTGGAAGAGAAGCAGGGGTCCTTAGCCATTTGGCTGCTTCTACCTTGAATGATGGCAGATCTCTTAGTATGTTGTTCTGTCCAATGATTATACCCTGGACTTTGGCAATCTTCCCTGACAAAACTTCTGTTGAAACCAGCATGGTTCATGAAAATGTTCCACTTTCAGGTTAATCAGTATCCTCTAAAGAAAAACAGTTGGTTCATGAAATGCCAGCAAACTTTAGTCACATCCAGGGAAGAGGCCTGTTTGTCTGTGCTCTTACTAGCACCTCTCTCACAATACTTCCCTTCCCCAAAATTTTTTTTTTTTTTTTTTTTTTTTTTTTTTTTAATTTTCTCTTGTGGTGCTTATATTCTAGCTTGCATTGATTTTTTTCTTTGTCCTGTATGGCAAATCTGCCTGCTCTGTCACTTCCCTGATATTGTGGACTAAATGATCTCTCTGAAATAACAGGATACCCACTATATATAAAATTCTGTGAAGTAAGTTAAACATAGTGATTAGCAAAATAATTTCATTTGCACCCGAACATTGTTTCACATAGCTGTGAGAAGAATATGTAGGTCTGTATCAATGAGACAGAGGACTATCTTATGATAAACGGTATCTAGGAGCCATCTGTAATAGTCAGCTCCCTCTAAGGTCCCACTGCAGGGCATGGCTGTGCACTCCTTACATGGATATGGAGGGAATAATCATTAGGATTAGAGGCTATACGTCTATAGTTACTACATTAATGGGACTACAGCTGGAACCTCGTGTAGCATCTGTGCATTAAGAAGAGTAGACAACACCACTAGCAAATAAGAGAAGATTAAGAAAGAGCTTAAAGAATGTTTTGAGATTGTAGTAGTGAGAGACTAAAAAAAACCTGACATAATGTATTTAGTTTATCCAAGAGAATAACTTCATCAAAATCTGTGACTGTCTGCACAGTATATTTTCTGATTAGACAAAGCTTATTAATTCAGCAGGTAGAGACTACTTGAAGCCCAAAGGTTCAAACAAGGAATATGGCTAATGTTTTTTTTTGTTTGCTTGTTTTTTTAGCATTTGGAATAATGTCAGTTGAAAATCTTAAAGCAAGGCTAGGCACACTTTTTAAAAGAGAGATGTTAAAAGGATACAGGTCTGAGGAACAGTCACTGTGATAAAATTGCCAAGGACTACCTTTTCTGTGTAGTCAGGCTAAGTAATCCCTATAATATTGTCTTTTGTCATTAGAAGCTATGAAAGTAATAATGTCTGGTAAATAATGGGCAGTCATTTGTTACCCTAAACTGAATAATGTAGAAGTATTCATAAGTGTGTATCATAGTTGGTTCCATCAGTTACAATATAGCATTAAACTCTTCTCTAGTTTCAAAATGCCATGGAGTTTGTTACTGTCATAATGGTCTCGGTAGCCAAATCCTGTTTTGGAATTCAGGATTACAGTACAGAGTAAGAATGTGTACTCCGTGAGCCATGTTGACCTAATATATACATGTTGATAGTTTGATTATATAGATAATTGAATAATGTGTACTCTGACAAATAAAAAGAGTTGATTTCGGTGTGCAATCAGAGAACATGAAGTAAACTACAAAACTGCTTGTAATGCTTTCAGTCTTTACAAGGTTGTGAGTCATGCAAATGCTTTATTCAGAGGTAGTCCAAGGTCTTGGAAGTTTTCTAACTTTTTTCTGTTTGTAGTCATTGCTTGAAGGCTTGTTGCTTCAGCAGTATTGATGCTGGAAGCTAAACGGTTGGTTATTCAATCATGGAACTGGAACACAGATTGTGCTTTGTGTAAACGTGTTTTCAGTCAGAAGGAGTTTTATACTTCTGTCATGGCCTAAACAGGATCAACTATAACACCTACCATTAAAAAAGCAGTAATGCTTATCACAAGTTATTTGTCTCTACTCAAGCTGACAAATATTGTCAAACTGCTTTATACGCGTGAAAATTTTCATTTCTTTTGTATTATTTGTCAACATCAGGGTGTACTTTCTCTGCCCAAATCAGTATCTACATGCTTTTAACATGAAAATGTCTTGCAGAGTCTGTATGATTAATAAGCTTAGCGCTGGATGTCAGGAAAATTCTGTTACTAGCACAATCAAATGGGAGGTCTTTAAAATGGATTTGTATTACTGTAGAACCATTTTCGTAAACCTGCCAGTACCTTTGGTCAGACATTAGCATTGTTATTCCACTTAATGGGAACTGAGGCTTAGAGAGGCTAGATTGAGTGCTTAAGACTGCATAGCATCTTTTCCCAGGACCGGGGTTCTGGGAAGACCCATATCTTTTGATTTCTTGCCACATGGATATCCAAATGAGGCATATTTGCAAAAGTGGCTCATTATACTTGATGGTCCATCTTTCAGTATACTCAGATTAGGAGATATAAAGGTGAATGGTAGAGTATCAAGCACCCACACACATATGGGTTCTAGATGAAAGGTTCTTCATAATTCTGAAGATGAAGTATGAACATCTTTCCGAAAGTGGGTTTCTCTGCAAAAGGTGTGAAGCCTGAAGTAAAAACAATCAGACTCCTGGCAGAGACTATATGGCCTTTTTGAGTTTTAGACATTGTTTGTTGTTTGGTATTCCAGTTATAGTTATAATACTTGTGAAGCTATGCTGGCACAGTCTTCAGACTGGGCACAGCTCTGTACAGACACAGCTCCTCACCTTACTCTTGTGCATTCCTTAATTTAGATTGCACTGGGGCATAGATGTGTGGATGTGGTTTAAGATCTCTGTAAGACTGAAGGGCTTCCTGAAAATCCACACCCTGGAATCGTCTTCTGAGGAGCAGTTTGATGGTTTTAGCTTAGCCTTGAAATTGCCCTCTGCTGTCTCTTTCAGGGGGTTGAGGAGGAAGTGTTGAGAGTTCAGAGCTGAAGATGCAGAGTAGGAAATCAAGAACACAGAACTAACTTCAACTCCCCATTTACTAAAACGTATGCAGGACTTAGGTAACTCCAGAGTGTTTCAAATAGCTGATTTTTCACTACACCTCTTTTTCCTTTATTTTTTACAAGTATCTGTTATTCAGTGTGATGAGAGGAATACAGCCTCATTCCTGTTAGGTATTGCCTCAGCTGCTGACAGAACTGATTTGGTATCACCCCTTCACCAGCAGCGCTTGTTCTTGGAACACCATATTTAAGCTTCCCTGGAAGTGTTAAAGAAAAAGTGTAGATGAGGCACCATGAGTGACACCGTTTATTGGTGGCCTTGGCAGTCCTGGTGTAAAGGTTGGGCTCAATGATCTTAAAGGTCTTTTCCAACCTAGTTGATTCTGTGATTCTAAACATCCTCAAGTTGTTTGGGATGTAGACACCAGCTGCAAATAATAGCAGCAAAAGCAGCCAAGGCAGCATGTCAGCATCAAGATTTTTATTTTGAGAGCCTCTGGGCATTTATTCAAGACACTAGGAGCCAGGGTTTCAGAGGGAACACAAAGGCAAATGACTCATATTATCTACAGCTTTAAAGCAAACCAACCACAAAACAACAAAGTACCAGTCCAGTATTTTCCTGAGGTAAGGTAGTGGCTAAGAATATAGGTGGTTTCCCTATCTGTTAATTTATTCCACATTTTTAAATACTTTCTTGTCATTCTGTGTAGATCAAAACTACCAGCCACCTGTGTTACAGTGTTGAGTAAGTCCTGTGTTTTGTAGCCCATGTACTCAGGTTTACTAAAGTGGCAAGTCTGTGATAGTATATTTATTTTGAGGGTGAGGTAAAGTGATTGATTTTTTTTTCCCCTTTATTTCACACCACATAATTTTAAATAATTTTCCATGTGCTTTCAGGTCTCTCAATCCTTGCTGAAATTGATATAATTTTAAAATATTTTGGCTGCAATTCTCATCATTACTTTCTCAGTTTCAGGAAAGGGACCTAGAAATAGTACCAGTTCAGTGTTTCTGATCTTAGTGCCTGATGGTATGAGTTGAGATTCAGTACCATATTAACACTGTCTTCATGACTTCCAGTTGCCTGGAGCGCTGGCAGAGCACGTTTCCATCTGCCTGCAGAAAATCATGTAGGTGTTCCCCTAGATGGCACCAGCTTTCTTCGGTAGACTCCATCGAATGCTGCCTTCCCCCATCCCCAGAAATGCAACATTTTCTCTTCTTACCTGTTCACTGTGCTTTCAGCTCATTATCCGCTGTTTTATCAACTGTTTCAGCAAAGCTGTGACATAAAAGTCAGAAGAGCTCTGCCACATAAATTCCTATGAAATACGTTAATATGACACATATGATAATAAGATTTTAGTACTTTTACCATCCTGTTTGTTTACTGAAGACATCTAAAAACTGTTGTTTTAGTAAATAAGTATCTGATAGTATGAAGTGGAAACAGTTGAGCTTACTCTCTTTTTCTCTGTACTTGAAGACTGAATGCTAGGTTTGGCCATAGCTTGCAAGTATGGTCTGCTAAGCAGGCAAGGTTATGGGTCTGAACTCCCTTCAGATCATTAGAATATTACCAGTTAATTTTCTTATCATTTTATGGCTTGTAAACCAAAAATTAGACTTAGGGGTTGGTCAGGCTGTGAGAAACTAAAACTTGTGTCTTGAGGTAAGGGTACTCTTTAAATGTATCATCACCACATTAGTAATTGAAAGTTGATACTATGATGTTGGCATGCAGTATCTTGTACACTGTCAGGCTGCCCATGTGTGGGAGTTTCAGAAGGCTTAATGCACTTCTGTGGTTTCCAGTGAAGGAAGTTTCCTGGCAAAAGTCCTGGTCTCTGGTGGTTTTGAAAAGGGCTGAAGTATGCTGTGGTAAAATCCTGGAAGGCTGCTTGTCTCCAGACTGCTGCTTTAGAGTCCCTGCAAGCACATCCTTCTTCGGTCACAGCTCCGGCCATGAGGGATGGATAGAAATTTGTAGTGGAAGCAGGTGCTAGCCTCCAGCTCCAGAGCTTGTTCTGGGGAATGCATGACATTGGCTTGTCTATAGTCAACATGTGTAAAAGCCACACAGAATTACAAAACAGGATAACTGAAGGTGAAGGATGAAATAATGTTAAGACAGTAAAAGCTTGATGACATACAGATACTTGCATATAGCACAAAGCTACATCTTACAGTATAGTACAGCAGACAGTATGGTTAGGAAAAAAATCCCAGTAAAGCTATGAACAGTGCTTTACCTCTGACTTTTTTGCATCTCCAGGGACAATCTCAACCAATGGGAGAAAGTAACAAGAGGTGAGGAAGCCTTTATATGGATTCCTTCCCAGTCCCTTCCTCCTGGGACCTCAGATTCACTTCCTGTGAAGATTGATGACTGAACAGCAGCAACAAATAGCTTTAACCTGAAAAAACGTCCCTTCTTGTTTTGGGGATTGCTTTTTGGTTTGTTTCATTTTTATTTGGGGGGAAAAAAAAAAAGAGAAAAAGGAAAAAGAAAAGCTACAAAATGTTAACTAAGAAGCAGATCTGCCTAGGAAGGTAACACTCATGGAGTTACCTCAGCTAAATGACTCTGGCAGCCAACCTCCTGACCTACACCAGTGACACAGCGTGAACAGAGAGAAAACGACAACCCAGAAGTTTTGGAGTCAGCTATCAAAAGAGAACTTACAACTTGTGAATATAAAAGACTGGCCTTATCTCATGGGCTACATTGCTGAGGCCTTAATTTAAAACTGATGGGGGGAGGGAGGGGTAGGGAAATCTTAGGGGGTACTTCTAAATTGTATCTTTCTAGTAAGGGTTTCAATGGTACTTTTATTATACTGTACTGTGGCTGGCTTTAACACCAGTGTCACTTGGGAGTTCTTGGCTATAAATAGAACAATATACCCATTGCTATTGTGAATGTTTATGTGTGATCTACTTGTAATCAGTTTGAACTCCAGCAGAATCCTTGGAGACTATAATTCATGCTTAGGTTACAGTGAATTCTCTTGCTGCAAACTAAAGGAAAACCAACATTCAGGTTAACGTTTTAAAGTACTTCATTAAGCATCAAGCATCATAATGCAAATTGTCTGTCACTCACAAGACAAACGTTGAAAGAACTGGCGATGGTGCTTTGTCCTTCAGAATGATTTGTAAACCTAAACAACTCCTTTCTTAAAACACTGGAAGTACTGGATGTGAGAGTTTCAGGGTGGAGGTTTTGTATCCATAGTGACAGAAGCATCAGATTAAAATTTAAATGTGACAGCAAAGATTTCCTTGCCTAGCTCACAATTAAGTAAAGTCATCATCTTTATTTCTACCGCTGAGTTGTATTTGAAAAGGTATTAGAGACATACCTGAAGTATGCTATCTGCTGGGAGCAAAAGCCTTGTCAGAAAAGTCAGGTCTGATGAGAGAGGTTGTGGTACCATCACAATAAATCAAAACCTGTTTTTGTATTGACTAGCTTTTGTGTTGCACAGCAACACTGTATGTCTTCTACTGCTCTTTTCCCCCATCCGGAGATGAGTGAAATTAGGAAATGTCTCTATTTGTCTATTTGCTTTTTTCCCCTAGTTCAGCAAAATTTCCAGGCTTAGAATTGCTTTTCTTAGTGGAAGAATAGCTGACTGAAGAAAAGTACTCTAAAATAGCGTGTTTACAGTTCTGTGCTGATGTAGGCTTCAGCCTTACAAACTTCTGCACAGACTTTAAGACCTTACATTTAATGCCACTCTTTTCAATTTAGTGCAATTGTACAGAGTATGTTTCAACAACACTTAATTTGCCTTCATCTTTTCCTTAAAAATAATGAGAAAAAAATTTCTTTGTATTGATCCACACGGTAGGTGAAAACACAGTCTTTGCATACCTTTCACATACAGCCTATACTATACGCTTTTTTCACAGAAAATACACTCTTGTTGTGGTTCCGTGAGAACATGGCCATTTGTGTAACTGCAACAAATAGTAGTGGTTTTAAAGAAAGAAAAAAGTTCATTTTTCCATCTTGTGTCTGTTGAGCTGTATTGCTCTAAGCATGCCATCTTATGGGTTTCATGTAAATGACTTGGACTCTTGAGTTTTGCCTTCTGTTATGGTCGAGCACATACCAGTATCTGTACATGTGTGCAGTATGTGATAAATAATCACATCATGTATAAATGCACTGAAGCCTTTGCAGTACATAGATATCCTAGAGGTTAAGAATTCAATATGAAGTTATTTTAGTTATATGATACACGTTATCCAGCAGCAGGCCCATAATTTTTTTCCAGTTTGCTTTACCAGTTCTAAGTGTAAGAAATTTATTGTTGACCACAGCAAACTATTTTGGGGAAAAAAACCAAAACAAACCTAAAAATTCAAAAGTGGTGGGAAGCACCAAAGTAGAATGAAAAGTATCTCATGCTGTGTCCTCTGTTTTACTCCTTAGCAGTTCTGTTTTAGCTAAATCATGCAGATGAAACCTTTTATCCACTAAGTACTCAAGGCACAGTTACAGTACCTAATTTACGTGGAAATTATCTGTACCTTTGGTGACTACAGAAATACTCTCTGAAATTCACGTACCCCCAACAACTGAATGGAAACTTTTTCCTTCATGGGTTAAGTATATTTGCTGTTGTTCTCCCTCTTTGAATGCTGATCTTACAAGCATTGCAAAAATATTCCTTGCCACTCTGTGTGTATGGAAAGCTTTTAATTCATCTTTTACTCACTGACAATAAAGATAACTTCACTAGCTCTGTAACCATTCAAAATCTTTGGCAGTACCACATAATATTTTGTTTCCCTGGCAAATTTGTCAAATTGACAGTAAGTTGTTCTATTAATGTTTAAAGTCAATCACATACTGTTTCTAACGTAGAACTATCCAAACCACATAAAGTATATGTTTGCTAGAGTATAATGTCCATTAGAATGAAAAATTGTGACTCCAGAGGTTGTGGTTTAGTTTGTTTTCCTGATTACTCTTTGTTAGCACCTAGACCAAGAAAAATAGCCCCCAAGACTGGATTTTCTCAGCAAAGTTAGTCTGGTTTAGCATTCACAGAGTGCAGATTCAGATGTGTATGGGTTTTTTGTAGAAACAAACTTACACCTACACTTCCAAAGTCAACCCCACCAAATACTAAAATTTTGAAGTTGCATTTGAATTTCATGGCTCAAATCATTGCTCAACATTACATGTTGAGATTTAATTGTTCGAAATTCTGGACTTGAACTCACAAATCGAGTAAGACATCTAGATATGTAAGACATCTGGCTTATTAAGTTAAACTGCCAAAAGCCATTCTTCCTTGCATTTTTATCGTGCTAAAATTGATCTTGCCCAAGATCAATAAAAATGTATAAAAACCTAACAGATCTCTCTTCTCCTAGAGGTGTTAAACTTTATGTTGCCGGAACTGCTTTATTTTTGTTATTAATTTCAATTGCTTTTCCCTTTTAAGACCCATAAAAGGACTGTTTGAAGCCACTAGTGTATTTCTAGTGTATTATGAAGTGGTGCCTGAAAGTTACGCACTAAGTGAGAAAAACAGGTGACATAGCATGATACTTGGATGTTGCATATAGTATTACAGCACTGACAGTCCATTGTTATAATTAATTTATTAATTTTGGACAGTCGTGCAACATTCTGCTGTAATGGTTCAACTCATGGCGGTATTTTTTATTTTTTTTAGTAAGTGCCCATTAGACAAATGCAATAGGGGTTTTTTTAGATGGAGTGTGTGATAAAAAAATATTTACATTGGAGGGGACATGCAGTGTGGAATTCATCATTTTATGTGGCACAGACTTTTTTCATGTGTTTAAACTTAGAACGGTGTGATCAGTTTGCTGTGACTGCATTTAGTGTTAAAATTGTAGGGATAGCAAATAGCACTATTGTTAAAAACTAGATAGTTAGATGCTCAAAACAATTATGACCCTCTTGAAATAATGCATTTGCCTCAAACACTGTGATACAGGAACAGTTCTGTGAAGTGGAAGAATTAATTCAATTAATTTATTCATTCTAAACACAGAAAAGGCTTTCTGCACACTACCACAAGAAAGCTCATGTTCAAACTTTAGGTTATGTATCCCAATCTAGCAAAGGCACATCATAACTCTTGTTTTGCTTTCTGACCAAAAACTGTGCTCGATTGTAATACGGGTGTATACTCTGTCAAAAACCCTAAAATAATGAACTGCTTTCTAGGGTAGATCAAACTGATTTGTAGAGTAGTTTCATATATATATTCAAAATTCAGGTTGGGCTGTTATGTGAAGAAGAAAGAACTTCAAGGTAACAACATTCAACTTTACTACATTTAGTGAGCTGAGAAATTTGTTTTATATATATATATATTTACACACACATATATATATATATGATACATATAAACTATCTTTGTAAAAAAAAAATATGCAAGTGCAATAATTTAAAGAGGTCTTAACTTTGCATTTATAAATTATAAATACTGTACATGGTGTGTAATTTTTTTCATGTATTCATTTGCAGTCTTTGTATTTAAAAAACAAACCTAAACCTTTACTATTACGTTTGTACAATAGAACAGTAAGCATTTATTATGATATAGTTACGTTGTAAATAAATTCACAAACCAAACAGCCAGTACATATGCATATATGGGTGTCCTATTGTGAAGCCTGTTTTTGCTTTTACTGCTGGCTTTAGCACAGCAAGACTACTTCTGTGGATATGTAATTATACATATAAATATATGTATGATACATAAAATATATTTAGAAATGTTCATAATTTTAATGGATATATCTATACATATACTTTGGTGTGAATATTACTGAATACAGAGGTTTTTAATATTATTTTTCATGTTTATTTTGCTATTATTGGGAGTGGAAGTGAGGGATGGGAAGTGTGTGTGTGTATTACGTGTGTTTATATCACAAGTAAACCACAGGAGAAAGGGATTCAAACCATAATGGAGTCCTTAAAAAAGGTAGTGCCTGTAATTGCAATTTACTGCTTATGGTGTGTTTTCCCAACATCATTTAATTTAATTTTTTTTATTACTTATTGCAAGTTCACATTCTCACAGACTGCAAAGGGATCCACTTTGCTGTTTGCCCTCCTGCTGTCAGAGAGCTTACCTTGCGGTTGACAGCTACTTCCACACAGATCCTTGCTTTGCCAATGTGAAATGGCAGGGCAGCTAATGCAGAATCATTTGCTACCTTTTGGAATCATGTTGATCCTGAGATACTGAGTTGTAGAAAAATAATCCTGCACCCAAATCTTTAAGGCTTGCTAGTCCAAAGTGATACAACGCTTTGATAGCTCCCAATATCCTGAAAATACAAGGTAGGTTGAGGGAACTATAAAGCAAAATTCTGAACAACGTATTAGCAGGTATTTATAAAATAGGAGGAAAACAAATGAGGAGAAAAGTGTCAGTGTAATATCTACCTAATATATTGATTTGCTTCAAAGATCTCTCACACTGTTCATGCTCGGTAAACAGGATATTGGCCAGGGTGGCCTTGTGTCTTTATACGACTCTTCATGACCCTTCTGTTCTCAAAGATGTTGAGCCTGGGATAGAGTGCAACCTGGCCTCCAAACTTCCCTGGTTTGCCTCCTCACTGAAGGAATGCAGTATTGCTAGGATGACTTGACCAGAAACAAGTTTCCAGGGCAACTGGTTCCATTTAACTGCTGCATGCAGTTGTCAAATACAGTTATTACAAAATATACCTGCGTCTGTGCTGTTGTGACCAGCCCACCCAGAAAGCTCTATTTGCTGCAAGGGGTGTGCTGCTAGGGCTAACTTTAGTGATGAAATGGAAACTGCACTGACTTCTAATGCATTTTTTAGGATTTATTCATTTCAGTTAAAACTTTCCAAATTATTTTAAGGGACGAGCAATAGAACAGGAATGTTTTGTGAATGCTATTAATTTGGTCCTTTCCACCTGTTTCTGTATTATTGGCAGGGAACTGTAGGCTGAAGTTGATAATGACTCTCTGATC